TGAGCTAAAGGTTCCATTTCAGGCCTGGAAGACTGCTACTCTGATTGCAGCGCATTGAGTCACCTTCCTGTGTGTTTTGCTGAATTTTCCTTTAGTTAAATGAGAGAAGTCAGGAACTGTGATGTGAGATTGATAGTTTAAAATCAAGCCCAAAGAAGAAAGTCCTTCAGGTGAAACAACCAGCACCTTCATAATTGATAAGCATTTATTAAAATGAAGAAAATAATTGTTTGCCTTTTAAACTTTCTAAGTTGAACTGCCATTTCCTTTGTACGTAATTTCTAGGTAATTACAGGTCAGGGTGAAGTAATTAGATGGTAGAATTTTGAAAAATATTAACTTGACTTCTTATCATGAATTAAAGAATGTAGGAAGACTACATCACTCCTTGGAAATGAATATTTGGCTTTGCGATCCATTAGTGTGACAATTATATTTCAGATGTCAAACTTGAAGTCTAATTTACCCTGTTCATATTTCATCCTCTCTTCATTTGGAAATCTTTGTTCTCCAAATGGCATCTCAGGTTCTGAAAGATCTTAATGCAGAATTTAAAGTACCTGTGTACTCAACTTTATGCTTTCAGTACACAGCTCTGGAAAAAAAAAAAAAAGAGTATCCATGTATTTCATTATTTTCTGGTATATTTGACTGAATCCCTGATGCCTTCGGTGGTCATGGTGAGACAATAGCAGTTTTCATTTGTCATTCTTGGTCTTAGCCTTGAACCTGAAGGGAAGGGGGACATAAAACAGATTATTGTGTAACTGTAGAGATTCATAGTCTTGTTGAATTTGAAATGCTGTTTATGAAGTACTAATTCATTTTGGTGTGTTAGCAGTGTGGCTTTTTCTCGCTGCTACAGCATATTCGCAAGTCTTAATTTTCACTTTGAGCACCTCTGCCTGGTGTTTCCTGTTAAATAGCTCTGTGCTTTCAGAGGCATCTCTAACCAGTAAAAAACACTGAGCACAGGGGCCAGACTGAGATTATGAAGAAACTGAGGATAGGCCACAATGATGTGTGTTTCATCATATTAAATATATTCCTTTTGTAATCTCAGATCAAATCATTGTCTGAAATGATTTGTACAATATCATTGTACAAATGTAGGATGTATTTGAATGTACAATATCTGATTTGAACTTCAGTGTGTGTTCAAGGTGGATGAAAGCTTTTTTTAAAAATATCTAATAAGTTGTGATATACGTGATGCAAGTTCTCACTTAAATTTTATAGTCTTAGAGAAGGTGATAGTAGATTTTCTTTAATGAGTGTACTTTCAGATTCTAAATTTTTATATATAAAATAATACATTAATTAAAATGCATGTCATTGTTTTAAAGGACAATTTGGGCCTCCACACTGAGGCACATAAAAAAACTGTGCTATTTGGCACCAGTTCAGTGCACATTTTAAGTCAGTTGTGCACTGCAGAGAAAACAGTCAGAACTAATTGGAAGCTGGAGAAGTTGAAAAACTGAACTTAAAAAAGCAGGAAGGTTTTCTGGAGGCAAAAGTAGGTTGGATCTACTGATTATAAGCTTTAACTGGGTCAGTTTTAAAATTCTTTACAGTCGGATGTCTGCTGTATAGGTGGTGTTCAGAAGTTGTCTGGTTTGCACTACCTTAATATTCCATGGCTTCCTGCAAGTGCTGAGATGCTATAAAAATGTTGTTAATATATTTGTGTGGCATTACAGAACAGTAAGGGAGAAGTAACTTGGTGCATTTAAGCAGTTTTTCTTACTGTATTAGATTATTTTAATTTGGCATTCAGATTTTCATTTAAAATGAGGTATAAATATTTGCAGGCTTACATTTCACTTCACAGTGAAATAGTTTTAAGTCTAAGATTTTATGCTACTGTAGGTGAATAAGAAAGTCTACTTAGTTTTTGCTGATATAAAAATGTGCCTGCTTTATTTAAAGCATTCCTGGTCTCATCGTTCATGTGAGATATCAGTTTGGTGCTGTGTTAAACTTGCATTTCTTGACTGTTTTTCTCCCTTTTATGAGTGGTGGAAATCGGGAAGTGTGAGATGAGTCAGTCTCCTTGCCTGCTATCAGCAAGGTACTGAATATGCCTTGCAGTCCATTCTCTGTGCTGAGCAGCTGTGCCTTAAATCTTCTAAGTTAGTCTGAATGGAGGAATCCCATTTACCAAACCAGGTTATGGGCATGCTCAGCAAGTGTTCAGTCAGTGCTTAACATTTCAGGCTTTTTTTCTCCTCCTTGCACTGTAGTCAGTGTCATGTTTAAATAGTCCTTTCTCTTAAACTTTGCTTAGTTCTATACCTTCAGCTGAAGTCATAGTAATGCCAGCTGTTAAAGTGATTTTGTCAGGATGGGGGATCTCCTGGATATGTCAGTAGTGTTTCTTGAGGTTTTTGATTTTCACAGCAAGATTTGAAGGTGGCAATTTAAAAAGCATTGCCAAATTAGAAGTAGATGAAATTGCTGTAATATCATAGAGACTTCTTGTCCACAATTCAGTATAATTCAGAATAATGTATCTTTGGTGCACAAATCTTGATTTTCTATCCTAGTTGTTACTGTTTTCCCAAAGTCCACACCTGATTTCTCTGCCTCCTCTTCCTGTTTCCCCCCTTGCTTTTGCTCCTTCTATCCTGGCTGGTATTTTAACATTTGTTAGGACTGAAGGAGACATAGCATATGATTATTGATTTAACTCTTGCAGTTTCATCAGTTGACCAGAATCTGTTTTTGTAACTTTTTTTGTCCTTAATGATTTCGGTGGTTAATGTGCTTTGAAATGTTTCTGCAAAAATATGAAAGGAGAAGTATAGAAAATATTTTTTAGAAGTTTTATTCTAGTTTTTACACCTGAAATTTGGCTGATTTTTTTGCAGTTCACATGGAGTTCAGAAAGTATGGCCAAATTAGTCATAGTGAAGGATGGTCATGGTCTATTATGTTCTTCAGTTAATAGAAATGCAGTGTGAATATGTGCAGTCATGTTTCTCACAGTGTAAACATGCTTTAGGACAGATGATCATGTGAGCTAATTTGGTTCCCATTCAGAATTACGCAGTATCACTGGAGCCAGAACAGCACTTGATTTTGAGAAGTATTGTTCTGCCACCATAATACCATTTGGTATAAATATTGTTAGGCCACTCTCTGAGTGATGTGTGTATGCACATGATCAGCTCTGCATGGGATTCTGTTTAATTTTGGAAGCCTGGCTGTATCTTGGTTTAAGATTATTTATTTACTTTGGTACTCTACAGGAGCGTTTGTATCTTGTCCTACAGAAAGTATGAATCCTCCATCCCCCTGCATCACTTTCTTGTGGTTTCTTCTCTTAATTTCCCTGCTGTGCTTTTTTATTACTGTTTTAGTACTCTCTTCTGCATTTGCTGCTTCTTTGAACCATATTACTGACCTCCCATTAGAGAGTTGAAAGTTTTATAGCTGCAGGCTTGGGATTGAAAAGGTATGAAGTCCTTAATCAATGGACAAAATCCAAGAAGCCCCTTTGCTGACACACACTCCTGTTGACTCAAAACAGTTTTCTCTCTTTTTGTAAATTGGAAGTCTCTAGACTGACTCATGGAATTGAACCATGACTGTATTTAAACATCTGAACTGAGAATTGTGTTTGCTTCCACTTGGTGTAGCAGAGGCTTCAGTCACTGACTGAAGAAGGTGGTAGCTGAAGGTACCTGCATCACATGGTTCCTTACTAGAAATGTTCAGATATGGAACCTCAGCAGCACATGGATTACAAACATGAAATTTGATTTAAGTTTTCATGCCATTGTATTGGCAAAATGTGACAGAAATAGGAAGGGTCTGAGTGGAGTCCTTTGTAACTCTGACGTGATCTTAGGAATTTATATGTACCTGACTTTTGGAAAGTTGTCCTTGCTAAAAAGTCTAGAAGTGTCATTGGGAGCCAGCTGTGCAGGTAATTTTTTCTTGAAGCATTTGAGCATTTAAAAGTAAGAGTTCTCATAAAGGATGAGAATCTGTGGAAATTTCTTTATAGGAAGAATATAAAAAAAAGAAAATTCCTTTTTTTTTCTTGAATATTTTACATTGCCAGATGATATGCAGTTAGGCCACTGATGCACCTGAAAGCCATTTGGTATGTGGAATTTCAGAGAGAAGGCACCCAGGATTGGTGGTTCTGTTGCAAGGATTAGTTTTTCCCTTATGATTCTACAGTGGAGATGAGATTATTAAAAAACTTGCTGTACTTCATTCATTGCAATCAAAAGCTGCAGTACATATTGTCATACTCCTTTGAAAGAGACTGTTGATCCATCCACTGTATTTTATTTGGATAAATTTGAGACCGTCAAAAATGTTGTATGATTATATATATAATTGTGTGTGTATATATATATATATATATATATATATAAATTTTGTATATTTTTCCTGTCAGTTTCCAAGTCTGATATTTTAAGCAGTAGGTGGTTAATGCATGTTGTCTAAATTGTGTTTTCCTCTTCACTGTGCTGCCTGTAGTACAGCCTGCAGAGAGGAATGGCATGTCATGTGGCTGTTTTATTCTTGAGTGTCTTATTACTCTTAATTCTGTGAGTGATAAATGCCGTGTAGGAATGAAAGATTAAATTAAAGATTAAGTATATGAAGCGAAGATAATTAATACAAGTATAAGTTTTATCGCCAAATTTTTATCCATGCACATTGTATCATTCCTAAATTTTAGGATGCTGGGTTTTTTTATTAGCAGTACTCTGGTGCCAATACTTGACCTCAAATAAGAACATTTTTGCTGGTGTTCTCCTGGTGAAAATAGCCTGGGTTACCTTTCTTTTAATTAGTTTAATGTTTTATGTCTTAGGTAAGACATTGTTTTTGCAGGTCATGTTTTAAGAGTCTGCCTATCCTTTATCATCTGCTATTTATCTACGGCATTTGATGCTTGAGTAGAAATCAAGCAAAATGGTGAAATGTAAAGATAATAATTTTAGGGTTTTTTGTTGTTTTTTCCCTCTTTTTAGAACAAATTCTGTACAACATAAAACAGGAGTACAAACGCATGCAGAAGAGAAGACATTTAGAAAATAGCTTCCAGCAGACAGATCCTTGTTGTTCTACTGATGCACAGCCACATGCATTTCTCCTCACTGGACCAGCTTTGCCAGGTACCCAGATAATTCTGTGTAATTTTCCTATGTTTTCTTAGACTCTGCTTCTGTAAACAACTTTTTCTAGTTACTTGGTGGTTTATGGCACCTTGTCACCAGTTACTGTTGTTTTTTGGCCATAAATTGTGTGTAATTCTGCTGTATTCTGTTATTGTGTCAGATTCCATTTGAGTAAATAATTCTCCCAGTTACCTGTTGTGTTATGACACATTCCCACTAGTTACTGCTGCTTTTTTTGGCAGTAGCGCTATTGGTCTGGAAGATGTTAGCTTTGCATTTTAAAAATTGGTCAGACAAAAACCTGGCATTGTTTTCAGACCATCCTGCCTGCTGTCACTGGTACTGTAATAGGCTTTTGCAGAGCAGCTGTCTTGGCACCAATATACTTACTATAATTTTTATATATAATAGAAGCTTAAATTTGTATGTGGCAACTGCCATGTAAATGGTGTTCACGGTGTTTGCATGATGGTCCTGGGGTTTTGATGGTTGTGAGTGTTGTCCATTGCAGATGTTTTCCTTTTTGAGCATCCAGTCCTGCTTCAGTAGTAATTACAAGGATCAACGAGCAGAGCAAATCTTCAAATGTTTTGTAAAGTTCCTTTAATGTAAAAGGTGTGAAAAAAACTGATTATAAAAAATTAGTTCTGATCTACTTGTAATTGTAAATTGGTATGCCCAAATATTTACTCTTAGGTACTTCATCTGCAGCATCATCACCATTGAAAAAAGAACAGCCCTTGTTTACTCTCAGACAAGTTGGAATGATCTGTGAACGTTTGCTGAAAGAACGTGAAGAGAAAATCCGTGAAGAGTATGAAGAAATTTTGACCACAAAACTTGCAGGTATCTTACAGTTCAGAATAATATAAGTCAGAGTGATTTTGAAAGCTTAAAACTTCTCTTACTTTTGTTATAGAGTGTATGTTTTTTTCTGACCTATTCTGATGAAGGAATGGGGTTGCATACATGACAGAAAAAATGATGTTTACTCCCTTTGATAGGTTTTTTCCTTCTGTGCGGCTTTGGATAGAAAGTATGACTCTTATTTATTACTACTCAGTGAAGACAGTCGTTTTATTTCAGTTAGAACTTTCTCTTGCTACTGTGTCTGAATTGACAATTTCCCCTTTTTTTTTTTTTCCCCTTCTTCTTCAGAAAGACTGCCTGTAGAGAGCTCTTTTTGAAGGACTGTTTTGTTTTGTTTTGTTTTTTTCCTGCTTGGGAACTGACTTCCTTTTTCTGGAATCTGGCAAGATGACAGTACCTAAGATTTCCCTTTCTCTTCCCAGTACTTAGCATTACACTGCTGCCAGCAGTGTTTGGTATCTGCTTGAGAGTCAGTTCAACTGTTTTGCTGATGCTCCATGTTGAATTCTTTTAGAATTCAGCTGAAATTCTTGGCACCTGATGCCAGCTTAACTTTCCATCAAGATCATGCTAATGTCAGCATTGTAAATATGACCTTTCTTCAGTTTTTGAGGTCCTTTACTTATAAGCCTCTTGCTAGCATTTAAGCACCTAAATTCTTGTGCATTCAGAGGTAGGTGCTTTCACAGTATGATGTGGAGTCTAATTTAATATTTAGTGTGATGATAATGAAAATCTGAGCACACAGTTCTGCAGATGTGCTCTTGAATACCTACAGCTGTTGTGCTTCCCACCTGAAAACACATCAGAATTAAAGTTGGCAGGTCTCTTCAAGTGGGAATAAAACCTTTTACAGGCATGCACATGCAGAAAGTCACCAGGCTTGTGGGTTGCTTGTGATAGTATTGTCTCTGCACCCGAGATCCTGTTCATGTTCTGCACCTGCTGATCTGCCATTTCTGTGTAAGAAATTGCTATAGTTCTATGTCCCTCTTAAATCTACGTCTATTTAAAACTATAACTAAAGCCATGAATACTTCTGCTTTGAGCCTGGTGTTCCATTCCAGTGGTGTTCTTTTTAACCTGCTTCAGCCTGATGAATTCGGACTCTATAGAACTTTTTCTCCTAATTTATTAGGAGTAATTTCCTGGATTTTCTTAAATTCATTTCATTTAGCAGGATTCATAACCATTTGAAGACCAGATAGATTTACATTTCTTCCAGACACTTTTGGAGTACAAGCTTGAAATTCTTTACAAACAGGAAGCCCTTCTGTCAAGTTTGTTACATGTGCTCTGTCTCTCAGTCCCAAAAGGAGCATTGTTGGGTTTGTTTTTGGGAAAGGGAGGGGATGAATTCTGTCTGGGAGTTGTGGTTTAGTGAGATGATTTAGGTTTGCTTGTTCTTACCATAGTGCTCACCAAAAGAGCAATTAGGAAGATCATGTTACTGCATCACATGTATTAAGCCAGTAATACATTCTCAGCATTATATGAGAATTTAAAGACTGGCGAAAGAATTTAGACATTCCCTACATGGAAGGTCAGTTTTGGTTGTCTGCTGACAGAATGGTTATATCCTTTTCTAAACTTCATGCAGTAAGGTGATACTCCTTGTTACAAAAGTGAAGTCAAAGGAAATGTAACTGAAAATTCCATCATAAATCTCAGTTGAATAGCTTCTTTCAAGTTACTTAACTGAATGTTTGCATCTTGGGTATTTTCTGAATCAGAGTTGTCATGTAGGTAGTTAGCCAGATATTGCCTATTCTTTTCTTCTTCCATGTTCCTTGCAAGCAGAGTTGCTTTTCATGCAGAATAAATGTTTGGTAAATGGAAAACTCAGATCATTGTAATGCCCTGATTTCTCTTCCTGCCTCTGTTACCTGAAGCTGCTGTGTTAGCGCAAACTTGGTTTTGCAAGAGCCTTAGCACTTCAAACACTAGCTTGAAAGGTTTTAAAGAATTTCTGAAGAACAGTCTTTTATAGTAGTGTAATTATATTTGTGTCATTTAGCCACCTGACTTAACATAGTTAGGATGTATATGATACAGTGATGTAAGTAGTTAACTGTAGGCTGCTCCTACCTTTGGATTGCTTAACTTCTGAATCTGAATGTCGCAAGAACGGGGCTTTTTTGGTAATTGGATTTTAAAAGAATTTGCAAAGCCGTAGTTCTAACTAAGATGATGTTACAAAGCAGCTGTGTATGCTGACTTCCACCTTAATTTGCAAGTTTGATTTTGGCCCTTAATACATACTTCTGGGAAAAATTCTAGTTGGTGTTACTTATTGAAAGGGTTTCAGTGCACTGCACTGGATCCTTCAGTCTGCTCTTTGTGTTATTTTGTTGTTTGGCTGAGCTCACATGGCTGCTGAACAGCCGCTGGTCAGAAGTGCAGTGAAGCAGGTCCTGCCTGTGGGCAGAGGGGAGCTGAGCTGGCCACCGTCACTGCAGGCCCCCTTGGTCAGGGATGAATGTCCTTCCACCTTTGGGTCCGCTCCGTGCTTGGGGCTGCTGCTGCGCTGCTTGCTGATTTACTGACACCCTGTTTACTTCAAAGGTGAAGCTCATCCCTGCAAGAGGATGGGGACTTTATTGGGGCAAACCTGTGGGACTAGGAACCACTACAAATCTAACTGCATTTTTGGTTGAAGATTGCCTTCTTTGACCTTGCCCTTTTCTCAGAACACCCCACATTGCTGCACATGTATTTTTCCACAAGGGAGGAAGGGGAATGGAGAGGAGCGGCATCTGGTAGATATTACTCTCCTTGTTCAATTTCCTAATTCTGAAAGGTGATATTCTGCTGATGAGTGCAGTATTAAAACTGAATAAAATATTGCAAATGTATTTGTATGGATGTGTGTATATAAAGAATAACCTTTCTGGGAGATAACAGTTCAAACAGTGCTTAGTTCAAAGCCAAGTATGTTTCATATAAAAATTTCATTTCAGATGACACAGTAACTGTTTTCATGCAATCCACAGTCAACTAACTATATGTCTCCCACAGCAGCTGCTTCTGTGATTAGAATTACTCTAAAGTTAGTCACTTAGCATTTCATCCTTTTAGTTTCTTGTTTGCTTTTGATTTTCTGGCAGTCAGCAAATACAGTTTCTAACTCTGTAGCAAATCCCTTTCCTGTACTTTTGTGTTTCCATTTCATTAAATTAATTTTCTTACATCTGGTAGTGGTAGAAGCAGACAAATTATGTTTCCAACCCTAGTACTGACCTTTTTGCCGTGTTTTCTACTCTGCCCCCATTATGGATCTGTAAAATGGGCACACTTCATTTCTTCAAAATACAGTGTGTGATACTTAGCAAGTGTGAGGTATATTGAGATCTTTGTTACATGCAGCATAATTCTCTTTGAGTTTACTGCCATCTTTCTCATTTTACAGAAGTTTGTATGGGAGAGCCTTTTAATTAAGGGGACATTAGCTTAATTGTTCTGGAGGATAAAAAAAGAAATGGCAGCTATGAACTGTATTAAGTTATTTAAAACTACTGCTGGTTTGGGGGTGTGTTTAACTTGTATGATTTCTGTGTATAAAAATTAGCCCTGAGTATTCTTCTGCTGGATTTAAATTTAAGACTCATACTTGTAATGTTTCATCCTTGCAGAACAATATGACGCATTTGTGAAGTTCACGCATGATCAGATCATGCGACGATATGGAGAACAGCCTGCCAGTTGTGAGTATCTCTTTCTTCTGGTCTCTGTAGCAGCATTGAATTACCAAGTGTTCAATAATTTAAATGGCCATTGTTTGCTGTTAAGCTGCTATGCCCCAAGGTAAAATATTCAAAACTGAGAATATGGAATATTGAGATGGAAAGGGAGGTGTGAGAGAAAATGCAGCTTGTGTTTAAAACATCTAGACCTGGTTTCCCATAGCATGCTGGAGTTTAGTTTTGAAACCAGTTTTGATACTCCCATAGAAGATTTGCACAGAGCTGATACTTGTTAGTGCTGTCATTAACTCTTCTTTTTTTTTCTCTTTCCAGATGTTTCATGAATCACACTTTCTGCATATGTGGGCTGCCCTATACACCCTGTTTTATTGTTGCAAGCTGTCCCAGTAAAGACTTGCAGCAATGCCATATTTTTTCCCCCCTGTGAACACAGGTTATTTCAAGCTTTTGTCAGTGGCAACCACTCTTATGCAGCAACTGGTTTTGGAGTGCTCCCTGATGTCAGTACCACCTGGATGTGGACCTTTGCTACCTGTAATAATACCAGTGGCCTCATTTGCTGTATCATTACGATTTGGCTTCTTATGTTAATAAGTTTGAAAAAGTAAAGGATTAAAGCTGGTGTTCTAGAAGTTGCCCTTCACTGGTTGTGTAAATAAAAATGTAGAATGACACTTCTGACTGAAGTTAGTGTGGTTTTCATAACTGTGCACTACAACAGAGCTGTAATCACAGTTAAGTTAGAATGTAATCCCAGGACAATTTTAAGCAAATAGCCCACAGTACTGCCTGTGAAATAGTGAAGGAGGGCATTTCTGTATTCCATGACTTTTTTGGGGGTTAAGAATGGGTTTATATGATTTCTCATTTTTGTAGTTTTTATTTATTCTATCAGTCTTTAACAAATGTTTATTGCTGCAATTTTTCAGTGTATCATTGTTTTACTGCCCTTGTAGTACTGGAATTTAGTTGGAAGAATAAAACATTTACTTCTAATCTGTTTGTTTTTAATATGCAGGTGGAACTTTTGCTGTGTATGAATAAACTTAAATCTGAGTGTTTAAATGAAAATTTTATTTACTAGCAATAGTGGGTGGGTCAGTTTTAGATCAGGAGAAGGAGGTGAAGTAAAATCTCAGGTCATTCTTCAGAGACAGAAATCTTTCTTACATCAGCTGTAGTGTTTCGTGTTGAGGAAGCTTGTTTGGTACAGAAGGGACAGAAAACTGGTGATGTAACTTGCTGCAGCTGACTCAAACAGCAGCTGCACTTGCCTTCCTTCAGATTTCAGTGACACATTAAAGGAAATCTGTTCATGAGACAGAGCAGGTGCATGTACGGCAAACTGGAACAGTGTAGCTATTGCAAGAGCTGAGGGTGTGTAATGCCTGTTAAGGGTTGAGAGCCTTGTTGGATGCATTCAGCTGTTGACAGACTGCTGTGTTGGTGCTGCTGTCTGGCCAGTGCTGGGTATCTGAATCACTGCAAATTTCCTACATGGCAAGTCTAGATCTGTGTGTTGTGAGGTGGGAGTATTGCTACCAAAGGCCTTCAGTTACCTGCTCTGGGGACAAGAAAGCAGTTCCCAAAATAATAATTTAATTATAAACTGCTGTCTTCTCTAATTTACTGTCAGCTTCTGGTTAAAGGGAAGTCTGCTCTGTGATAGATCTGTGTCCCATCTCAGATTAACAGAGGAATTTGAGTTGAAGCTGGTACATGAACTTGGCAGTTGGCTCGTGCGTACTTACGGTATCAGAGAAACCTTGTGATGAGCTCTACTTCTCGGTGAACTCTTCCACTTAGGAGTGAGATTGAAGGTTCAGAATTGGAACATTGCCACAGTATCAAGTATTTTCTGCTCACTTCCCTGAAACCTGTCTTGCCTATATATTTGGATTATCTCTATTTTCAGAATCCCAGAAATGAGAAATCTCTGCTAGACTCCCCTCTCAGGTCTTTTGTCACTGAAGATAAAACTGTCAAGGGCTGTAATTTCTGTTGTCTGCCTTGAAGTCCTCAGTCCCTCTCCTTCCTGCTCCTTACTTTTTGACCTCCTTTTATTAAGTTGCCCAAGCTAGGAAAATCACTGCTGCTAGGTGGAGCACCATGCAAATTCTGGCATCCTCATGCATCTCATGTATTTTTTGTGTTCTTACTTTTCTTGGGATATTAAGATTTACAAATAAGAAGTGATGTCATGCTAGTACCCAGCCACTCCTGTACTGCTCCAAATTGATGCCTAATAAGCAGTCTTGTGGCAGATGAAAAGCATGGCACCGTGGGTGCTGATGTATCACAGCTGTGGTATGCTTAATTTGTGCCTGTTTTGGAAATGAGGTTGCATTCTTTGAAATGTTTCATTTTTTAACCTGCTGCTTGTTCTATCTTGGACTTCAAACTGGCTCCTTTTCTTAATCTCAGTGCCAGTATCTAGTGTGATGAATCGCACATGAAAGACTTGTTCTAACAAGAGTCCTACTCTTCCAGTAGGAAAATGGCTGGCAGCTTGATGGCTTTGAAAGAACTGGGGAAATTGGGGTACTGTGAGGAGCCAGCTGGTGCTTGAAAACCAACCTGCTTTGCAGAACCTTTTCATAGGCTCTTGAGTTACGGAGAAATGGGTACAGTTCAGTAACCACGCAGTTCTTGGCACTACACTTTGTGGTGGCCACATGTAGAATATTTCTGTTACTTGTATGTAACTGCAGTCTTACCCAAAAGCCAAGCAGGCTGAGAACAGTTAATTGGAACTTAACAGAGTGAAACCAAAGATCTTGGTTAACCTGTTTTTAAGGTAGTGATGTATTTCTTTCCAAGCAGATCTCAGTTACTGTGTACTTGAAAAGCAGCATGTACGTCCTGTGTGTTGATTTTTGTGTCTAGATGTGAGACCCTAAGATGATTCAGCAATTTTCAAGGTTGCAAAGGAAGGAGATTCAAGCAATCTTTATGTGCTGATGTTTGAGATTTGCCTGTGTGCACTTGAACAGCATGACCAGTCACAGATTCTGCTTAAAAAACTCTGTTTTGTGAAAGCTCTCTTTGTTCCCGAGTTGGGAATTGGGAAGGATTTAAGCTTTCTGACTCCACAGTGGGGAGAAAAAATGGAGGCTGGTAAAGCATTAAAAGTTTATGCTCTTGTTAACCAGTGCTTGTGACATTTGTATTGGAAGTCATTCTCAGTGATGAAATGACTTTTACAGGCACTTGGGCTGTTCCTATAGTTTATTGCTGTTGTAGGCTTCAGGATAAAGAAAAACTACAAAGTTTGTGTTTGAAACCAGTAGTGCAGTAGTGTAAAGAAGTGTCAAAGAACAGCATCTGTAACAGTAGAGAAAAAGGGTTGGAAAATTATTTTCATGAGTGTTAACTTGCATTCAGGTCTGATTTTTGGCAGTAGTTCTGTTGAAAGATGTGGCTACCTAAGAATATGATACAGTTAGTTCAGAGGTGAGGCTTTACACTAGACTTTCAGAACTACTACAGATATTAGCACTTTGGGGTGTTTTTGTCCTGTTTTCTTTAAGTGAACATTGCAGACAGTGAAGATTTTTTGGAATGTCTGCAAAACATGTAATTACTATGCAGACAGTTGTAGAAACTAATTTTTAATTTTCCAGTTGGAATTTGTTTCAGCTAAGGTATATGAGGGTGTCTCAGTTGTTACTGATGTTGGTTCCAGAGTAAGTGATGTTAAGCTCTTTCCAGGAAAGTAGGACTGATTGCAAAGTCCAGCTTCTGAAGAAAGAAAGGTGGACTAAATTAAATTTATGACCAGTTTAGTTTGTGTTTTTAACTGTTCAACCTTCTTACCCTCCTTGCTGAAGAAAATGAAGCGCCAAGTACAGATTTGATCTGAGAAACCGTATGTAGCACAGCAAATGTGACTTTAACCGTACAAATCTGTTATTAGTTTAAGGGAAGAAACAGCCATTAACTATTAATTTTACTGTTTTAATGTCATGTTGCCTGCACATTTGGGGATTAAAGGCCACACACTGTTGAGGCTGGTTTCTCTTTATTTCTGAATGTTTTACCCTCTGGGGGTGTGAAAGTTACCTGGGGTGAGGTTAGCAGAGTGGGGTGGCAGGAGACAGCCACACAGCAAAGCACTTGGCTTCTTGTCCTCTTGCACATCACAGAGCCATTTGGTGCTGCTCCCTTTCATTTGTCAAGTGTGTTTGTGAGATAAATGGGGTGAGGTTCAGGATGGGGGTGTTGAGCCTTCCCCTGTGCTGAAATGCCTCGCTTTCCTCTCTGCTGCTGGAAAGCTGTCTGTATGTGCTACTGAACCGGGTCCCTGAGCCTGCTCACCAAGGAAGAATGGGAATATTTTACCTGTGTCTTTTGCAAGTGCTCCACTGCGATCCTAAAAGTTCATGCTCTTGAGTTTTTTGTCATTGTTTCCCAAGCTGTATGTTCTCGCAGCAGAGACTGATAAGCTCCTCCCCGTCCTCCTCCCCCTTCTGAACTGGCTGGCAGCATTCAGAACCAGACCCCCACTTACACGCAGAGGACATGTTGCTGTGACTGCAATTCCTGCTGCTGGAAAATACACTCAGAGAGGGCAGGAGCTGTGTATTTAAAACAAACCAATACACCTGAGTTGTGTATTTAAAACAAACCTTATATACATTGCTGGGGAAACAGCTGGCTGAGTCACTGGTTCTGTACCAGGACTTCCCCTTCCCAGTACAGATCTGGTTTATGGAAGTGATTACAGAGGGTTTATCAAAGCATGGCAGGTGCACTGCTCTGGAGGGCAATGCAGCTCTTCCCCTTTGGTTCCTAAGGCTTTTCCCATGGTTGAAGAACAGGGCACAGACACTGGCATAAACACATCTGCTCCTTACACAGAGTCAAGGGAAAAGGTTGGTCTGAGAAGGCTTTTGAAGACTTGATCATCAGATGAGCAGTGCTGGTACACGCTCAGCCTACACTGCTTCTCACACAGCTGTTTCCTTTGCCTGCATGCAGCACAAGCCATTGACAAAGAGGGAGGTTACAACATGTGCTTTAGGTGGGGATTTTCCTACCTTCCACCCGAGTGCACAACTGCCACGGTCTCAGTCTGCTGACACAAGTTTTCCTAACAGCAGGAGTCAGCTAGTACCCATCAAGTTCAACTAGAAAAAGGAATAAAACAGTTCACTTTTGCTCTTGCCAAAGGGCAAAACTTTGCATCTTCACAATTATTCTCTCCTCTTCCTCAAGAAGTTTTGAGGGAGTTAGGACCAGTTTGGAAGAACACACAGCAGAGGCTGAACATGGAAGTTCATTGTCTTCTTTACCATACTTGTTTTATTTATTTTTAAATTGAGTTCAAGGATCAAGGAGACATTTTATAATAATGACTCAAATCCTATCAGCTTATAAGGATATTAATAATACTGCTTCATCACTTTTTGGCTGACACAGCCAGTGTTGTCCTTTTGGCTTGCTAGTCTGAGTTGTATCAGTGGACTGTTAAATATCACACATCAAAGATTGAAACTGGCACAACAATATGGTATTTGGAACATGAGCATTAATACAGCAGAACATTACACAGGGAAGATGAGCATTAAAAAACATCTCTATTCAAGCCTGCCCAGGCACTCAGAATGTATCTCACAACATTCAGGCACTGCTGACTTTGACTCAGTATGCAAAATTAGCAAGAAGTAGAGTGGTGGGAACAGAGCCCTTGCTCTGTTGGGAAGTTTATTAGCACCTTGGTGGCACATTAACAGCCTCCCCATGTCAGCCTTGCCACATGGTCAGTTTTCTGCTTGCTGGGCTTTATGAAGCCCAGGAGCTCCAGTTCAGAAACGGCTCGAATAAAGCGAGCGCTGGACATGTCAGTGAAGGAAAGAAACCAAGTATGCTTTTGATGAGACAGTGACAGACACACTGTTCTCTTCTAGGAGGGCAAGATTTCTAAGTCATGGTAAGCACAGATTTCACAACATGTTGCACAATAAAATTGTTGGAAATAAGGGCAGAGCACAAGCTGCCTACAGAAACACAAATCTTCAATCTCATCAGTAGTTCTGCCACATGCATACAACGTGACAGCAAAGAGTTCCTTTTCCCACTGCTAAGAGAAGCTTAAAGCCTACAACCATACCAATTTTGTAGTGTCTCAGAAGAATTTATACTTTTATGTCCCTTGACAAAAAAATGGATAGATAATTACAGAGATTTTTTTCTGAGGTTTCATGGCACCACCTTTTCCTTTATATTCACTCTGCCTTTGTTGCTGCCTCCCTGACATACAGGTTTATATTCCTGAGTTAGAGAATTAAATTTATTGTGAGTGACAATTAACAGTAGAGCTTGTAAAAAAGGAAGGGCCAGGAAAGCCAGGTATAGTATTAGAGCATATAATTATAATTCCTTTAGTTAAGCCTATTTTTGCACAACTATTCATTTCTTCTCTGTGGCAGCACTACTGTTGTAGCCATGAGTTTTGGTTCTAATGCTCATCTATTAAATATTTTTTAGACTCAGTTCAGGATCAGGACAAAGTAACAAGCAGAATGGGTGTCCTGTGCAAAGTAAGTTCTTAACTCCAAGGTACTGGAACATAATGAACTACTGCTCTATTTGTCCATGTGCTCTCTAGGTCAGAGCCCTCCTCCCATCTGTTCCCAGTAATGCTCTACCCCTATCCAGCAGCTATACCAACTCTCTGATGATTTACCCAAACAGTTTCAACTTGTTTTATGGACTTTTGGTTCTGTTTCAGACCCAAACACCTCCTGTAGACCAAAGCTGCTCTCTTACCTCACCATTCCCAGCCCAACTATTTAAACTGATCTATTTCTTAGACATTTTCAATATATTAAGGTTATTTAAAGTAATTTTTCTGAAATGAATCAGTGCACATGAAACAATAATACAGGGGTATTTTAAAACCCCTGGTTCATAAATCCTGTAAGCTTTCCATGTCAAGCTTGAGAAAAATGAGAAAGGATACTGGATAACATCATCCACCTGGTCTGAGGAAGCTGCATCTGCATTTGTCTCCTCAGCTGCCATCACTACAGTTGAGAAAGCCTAGAAAGGGAAAAGCAGCACAGATTTATTCCAGTTCATAGACAGATAGATCTGCATATAAAATAGTGACCTCTGAGCTGAAGGCTATCACTCAGGGGGAATAAGATCTTGGAAGGAGAACTCCAGAGTGTGTCAGTTCAGCAGCAATCAAAGAGCAAGCAAGGTTACACATTACCATGGCAGGAATACAGAATGCAAGACATCACTCTCTGAACTCCTGTGCCTGCATTTTAAATCTCAAATGGTTCTGGGTCCTGACCCATTCTCAGATAAACTACAGAACTGAAAAAATATTCTCAAGGTGAGACTGCTAAATATTTTGGGGAAGTGATAGAGGTAAGTTGGCTGTGAAGAAATCTATAAAACTGAGGGACAGCAAGAGTCTGGGTAGGAATATACAATACACAACCAGGGCAGCAGCAAACAAAACACAGCTGGAAGAAGTAAAAGGCATATCCTCTGAACTGCAGGTGGTTAAGCTACACAGATTCTTGCAGAGGATGCTGTGGTTGCTAAAATATACTGGTAATGACATCCAGGTAGGTTTATGAAATACAGAAGAACCACTCAAGTTTAGGAAACCTTAGAGCTAAAATGTGATTGTTAGCCAGGGAGACTTTATCATATTAATGTATGTTCTCTTGCTATATTCTCTCTGCTTTTGGCTACAGTATGAGACAGGTTATCAAGCTAGAAGGACCCAGGCTTTTTCCTGGCACAAGCATTCTCTCCAAGAGCCCCCCTTGCCTGTTTCCATAAAAGTGTCACAGAATACTTAAAGACAAAAAAAAAAGAAAGGCAATTTTGTTAAGCACAAAATCTGACCTGTGCTGAGCTTAAAATAGAAGCAGAAGCAAAATAGTTTCATCAGAGATTAACAGAGCTGGAAATAAATGATTCACAATAGAGAAAGACTTATTGGAGTTACTGTGGGTTCTTGTGGACCAAGGTATGCAATGATTTAAGCTGTCAGAAGGGGCTCTGAAGAAAAGCAGCCATGCAGGAAAAAGGGAAATCAGAATACTGAAAGCAGGTGAAGGCACTGTTGGCATCATCACATACCTCTAACCAATCCACAAGATTGATCAGTCTGCCACATTCCAAATGAAGCTTATACACTATGCATATGTCAGGGGCTTTGTTGGAAATGCCTCCTCCGTCACATCTCAGAGCTTGGTTCTGATGAAAAAAATTGAAGGCAGTAACTTTGATCAGTGTCTAATCTTCAGAACATTATTTCAGGTAATTCAGATAGTAGGTATTTTATGCAAATGTTTACTGTTTGTGTGTTTAATGGCAACTTGATGGTACAAAGAAAAAAAAAAAAACCACAAAACCAAACAGGAAAATAAGCACACTATTAAAAAAAAACAACAATATCCCCCTACAGCTACTTCACTCCTGGTGTTCCTTCTATAAGACTTATGCAGCTTGTGCTGTAATGAGTGATTATCTGATTATTCTTTTATGCATTTTTTTGCTAGTTCTATTTACATATGAGAGAGAAATATTCCATTTTATGGAGTCAGGAGAAGAAACTAGTCATGATTTGCCATGTAGAAAATAGGAAAGTATAATTTTTCCCCCAGGCCCCTTAAAAGGAAGAGGAAGACTTACTATAGATCTGTCATATGTACTAAAAATAATTGCTTCTCTCATCTCAGAGTTTTATCTTTGAAATGTAACAATCATTTATCTCTAGCTTGAAACTCAGCATCTGTAAAGGCAAAAGTCTAATTTCTCACTAAGTACACTATGTTTCAGGAAATTCATGGAATCATTAAGGTTGGAAAAGCCCTTGCAGACCATGTGAGTCCAATGATTAACCCAGAACTGCCAAGGCCACCATTCAACTGTGTTCTTTACTGCCACATGCACATGTCTTTTAAATCCCTCCAGGGGATGGTGAGTCCACAACTTCCCTGGGCAGCCTGTTCCAATGCTGATTCTTTCCAGGAAGAAATTTTTCCAAATATCCAACTTAAACCTCCTTTGGTGCAACCTGAGGCCATTTTCTCTTGTCCTGTTGCAGATTCCCTGGGAGAAGAAGCCAATCCTCACCTGGCTCCAGCTTCCTTTCAGACAGCTGTAGAGAGTGATAAGGTCTCTCCTGAGCCTCCTTTTCTCCAGGCTGAACAATCCTTCTCTCAGCTGCTCCTCACAGGACCCTTCCCCAGCTTTGCTGTCCTTCTGCAGACATGCTCCAGCACCTCAATGTCCTTTTTAAAGTGAGGGGCCCAGCACTGGACACAGAAGTCAAAATGCAGCCTCACCATTGCAGAGTACAGGGGGACAGTCACTGCCCTGGCCCTGCTGGCCACACCATTGCTGATCCAGGCCAGGTGCCATTGGCTTTCCTGCCCACCTGGACACAGCTGGCTCCTGTTCAGCCACTCCTGACCAGCACCCCAGGCCCTTTTCTGCTGGGCAGCTTTCCAGCCTCCTGGATTCAAGGTCATCAGCACTGAACCATTTACTTGGGAAGTTGAGGGCACTGGAGCCAGAGGCAAAAGTCTCTGTACAGCTGCAGAAATTGACAGCATTTCATTTCAGTTTCATGCTCTTTAAGTCAGCTGTCTTAACATGAAAACAACCACTGATCATTCCTTTCAGGTCACAGACATTTGTTCTAAAACACTTTCATATGTTAGTAAAATATACAAGCAACGTTAGGGAAGTTATCAAGCTATAGCAATGACAGATATCTTCAAAAGAAAAATGCTTTTCAAGACAGGAAAGAAGGCTAGGCAAAAAAAAATTTGCTCAAGAATCTAGTTTACCCACAGATCTCAATATCTGCAATTTTTCAGACTCAGCTCCAGTTTGGACTCTGTCACTTATGAGACATTTCACAATTTACAGAACACCTAGCAACTTTCAAGTTTATTTACTCTCCTCTACAAGGAACATAAAAGCTATAGACCTTAGGTTAGTATCTGTCAGTTCATTACAAGAGGGCTTCCAGAAAAATTTAGAGAATATGGCTAACCCCTCACAGTGTTACAATGCTGACATTAGTTCATCAGGAACTCAGAGGCATCATGGTGCAGTTCTGTAACTCAGCAGTGTACCACAATAATTTCCAGTACTCCTGTGTTAGTACCTGGCACTCGTGAGGTTACACTTCTGGCTGATCTTGTGACTCACCACTGCCCAAAAGGACAACACTACACCCTTCCCTTTCCCCTCTCCTACAGCACCCAGCTCTGTGGTTTTCTACTACTCACCCATGTGCCAACCTGCCAATGCTGGACCCTTTGCATTGCTTTTTGAATTTTAAGGTCAGGACAGTTATCACAACCAAGAGAGGATGCAACTTCCAGAGCAACTGCACACTCCTGGAACAGGCTCATCTGTAGCAGCACCTGAGAGATGCCAGCCTCCCCTGTGGTAGCTGGGCCAAGCCTCTGCAGAGCAGTGGAGGGAGCTGGGAGGGAGCTGCAGCTGCCAGCAGGGAAACCTCAGCTCTGAGGCTGCAGCACACGTGTGGTCCCGAGAGGAAATACCCAGGCTGAGAAGCAGGAAGCTGCCCTACAACGAGCAGCCAGCTGTGAATCCATCTGTACAGCACAGAGGTGCTGCTCCCAAAAGAAAAGAACAGGAGTGGGAGCAACCCAGAACACAGCTGATAAGGAATTGCTCTTGTCTGACCCTGCCCCAAGGCTAGACAGAGGATTCCTTGCTCTGGAATCAATGCTGTTATCCCAAGGACCAAATCCTCTTTCCCTGATGTGGGAGCTGGTATCCCAAGTTTCAGCTTGTTAAATTTTCAAGGGATCAGGGAAACCAGAATTACGCTGGGTTTGATGCAGGTTTTTTTTGGGTTCTCTTCTCCCCCCAACCTGATAAATATGACCCTTGGTTCACGCTTTGCTAAATAACTAACTGGACTCCTGTAAGCAGTGCATCACAAATTAATCATTCACTGGTACTCTACTGAAGCACTTTTCTGTCCTGGCCTTCTGGAAGGCCTTCCTGGCCTTCTTCTCCAGCTTTGGAGAACTTTGCTCTGGTCACAGTGCAGAAAAACACAAACCATGCAGAAGCCATAGACAGAAAATATTTGACTCACTTGGATTAAAATGCTAAGCAAGGTACTCAGCCAATACTGCTACTGTTAGAAGCTATGCCAAAACTTCACAATCTTCTCAGAAAACGCTGGAAATATGTTAAAGCATGTCCAAGTACAAAGTACAGCATGACAAAGGGCTTTGAATCTTGTCAACTCATCAAAGAGAACAGAATACTTATTAAAGACATCAGTAGTTACATTTTCTTGGCTGTCCTAGTCTATGTATTTACAAGTTTTCTAAAAATATAAATTACTGAGGTTCGTATTAGGTTTCTTTAATGGTAACTTGCTAACTTCTGTTCTCACAAATAAGCTCTGTAAATGGTTTTAGTAATAACTCCTGCACACAGCAAAACTAATAACCCTCATTCAAATCGAGGACAGTGCCAGAAAACCCAATACAAATCAGATTTCAATACAAATGTAAATTTCAAAGGCTGATCTTTATCAGCCTTTACAGTTCCTGATAAGTGTTAGCTTTGATTCAAGTAGTGCATTACTCTGATACAGCCACAACCAGTATTTTCTTCAAAATTATGATCCATTTTTTAGGAAAAATGTTAGGCAATAAGAACAAGTTCAAGCACCTTCTGTAAAAAGAAATGTATGTTCACTCCTTTTCCAAATCCTAGTCTATTTCTTTCTTTTGTTCATCCTTTCAGTTTGACTTATGAAAGAAGTGGAGAACAGTCTGCTTTTCTCTTCCAGAAAAGGACAGGGTTAAGCTGATCCTTTTCTTGGACTCAGAAAACATAGGATATCAATGTACAACAAGGATTAAAATAAAATTGCAGAGGAAAACAAAGGACTTGGTCAAATACACTGTAATGATGCTATTTTAATGTTATGACTCCACCTGAACAGCCTTTACCTTACAGCTAATCTACGTAAGTGAGGACTGAGCACCAGCCCTATTAAGAAAGTCTCTGGAAAGAGTCACTTTATTTTTCCCTGTGGACAGTCATCCTAATTGCAGTGGAGGACAAAATTAGTTTTCTGCTACATCTACAGAAGAAAGAAAATATCACGGCTAGAACACACTCTGAAAAATGGATTCCTCCTACAGAACCCTTCCCAGAATTACCTTCACCAGACAGATTCCCCAGCTCCTTGAACAAAGTCCCCAGGTGCTTATCAGCACTTGCTAGTTCTCTGCAAAACAGCTGAGTACGTGCCAAGACTGATGGAACAGCGAACTCAGCCTTGCCCAGCGTGCTCCCCCAGCCTGGCGCAGGAGCCCAGCACGGGAGCAGCTCCTCACCTTCAGGTACCAGTGGGGGTTGTTCAGAGCCGTGTGCAGCGCGGTCCTGGGGGCAGCGTTCAGGTGCCCCCGCAGAACGGCGGCGCCGTTGAAGTACACAATCTCCTGCAGGGTCCTTTGGTCTGCAGGAACAAGGTACCTTCTGGAAAAGCAGGGGGTATGGGGGGTGTGGGGGAGACACAAGCTTCAGCTCAAGGGAAACAGCACAAGTCTACTGCTGTCAGACTATAAAAATGCATGTTTCCCATCCAATACTGAAAAATCTCTGAAAAACAAGATGAACAGCACTGAAATAAACTTCTAAGCAGAGAAGCCTGTTATTATCAACCCTATATCTAATGGACTTAGCACAGAACTCTAGCTGGGACACTGATAAATTCAAAAATAAGGGCAGCAGCTACAGTGCTAACCCAGTCAAGTACTCCACAGATCTTATTTATCCATCTCAAGGCCTCACCATGAGTCTCTGCTTATCTTGGCCTTCCTAGCTGAAGCTTTTTGCTTGGCAATGACACTTCTGTTAGCTTCTCTGCCTCCCCCCCACCCTCTATAATTAACAAATGCCTTCATCTCTTCCCCCACCACAACAAGCCTTTCACATTTTCCACTGCAGAGCTGCCTCCAAAACTGCATCTGCTATGGCTTGCTCACCAAAACAGTTCCCAAAATGGACAGGATATCACACTTGACATCTGTACAGTTTCGTAAGCAGAACAGATCAGCAAAGATTAGGGTAAAGACTCTTGACTTTATTTTGCCACTTTTACCCACTCCTCCCTCAACACTGTCTCAGTAGCCAGAGTAGGTTGGTCCATTTGTATTCTAATTATTTCAACTGATCTCTTGGAACAGAGGTGTGGTTCATTTGGTTTTGGTTTTTTTAGTTATTATTTTTAGAGCCCTCAAAGAAGGAATAGGAAGAGAAAAAAAAGTGTGCCACAGGGAGCGAGACACAATTTTTACAAGATTAACATGTTAGTAAAATTTCACTTGCAACTTATAGTGCAAACTAATGCAGGAATATAAAACAGGAAGGCTCACCTTACAAGACTGTCTATATAGTCAACAACTTCAAAACGAAGCATTTCAAACTTTGTCAGTTTCTTAGACCTCCTTGATTCCTTCAACTCCAACAAAGTCTTTAAAAAAAAGTGGTGCATAAGACTACATGGGAGGCAGTTATTCTCTGGAGAACACAATCTATGTGTTTAACATGTAGAATTAATTTTTGCTGGCATGTTCTCACTGATGATGTTTGAAATGTAATAATGCAGTTATTTTTATTTAGGCCAATGTATTCAGTTCTCAAATCCGTAGGAGTTAAAAAAATTCAAAGAAATATGTGTTAGGCATAATGTCTAAATTACAAGTTAAATAAAAACATCTAATTTGCATTTTAAAATCCTGGTTTATGACAGATTATTTTCTATAATTTTCTATGTGTCAAGAAGGCCTGAAATACATAGTTGGTATTCACTCATTTTTAAGATGAGACATTCACACACAACCCTTTACTCAGAGACCCAGCAACCTGGGAAGAACTAACCATGAACATTTTAAAACATTAATTTAAGGAACCAGTCAGTAAAGCCTAGGCAGGCCTAACCTTCTGAAGGTGATAAAGGTCTGTCTTCTTCTGGAGCTCCTTTTGTGGCGATACGGACACATCTCGTTCTTGGGAAGCTTCTGCTACTAGAACAAAACTAATGTTTGATATGTGGGGGAGACTTTTCCTACATAAACCTCCTAACCCCAAGCACTCTTCAAAGTACTCAGCAGTTCCTTGTTCACACAGACCCAACCACAGGCAGCTTTTGGGTCTTGCATCTTGCAGAAGATTGTTAAAAAAGGAGTCTGCAGTACAGCTTAGCCAACAGTGATTAAGTAACAATTCAGCCCTGAGCAAAGGCCCAGCACAAGCCTTGCACATCACTTTAATTCTCTTTAGGTCATCCTAGGTCATACCCTCAACATTTGTTAATTTGACAGATTAGGACTAGGTACTACTCATGCTTTTGGAATATTCAAAAAGCCACATGCTGCATTTTTTTTTCCTTCTCATGTGCAGAAAAATAATGAGTAAGAAATGAGTTCTCCCTACCTAATGCAGAAACTGCAACCAGAGCAGCAAACAGAAGCATGCTAAGGTACTTCATTGCCCAGTTTTTTTCTCACTTTAATTTATAAGAAAATTATATCTTCATGGACATGTAGTTCGGTGATCAATTACACCAATTATTAGTAATTTTTAGGTAAAAACAAAAAAAGCAAAACCTCACAAAGCACAATCAGTGCCAGGATGAGTGATAATCAGAAAAAAAGGAATCTAGATTTCTTGCCTTATTCAAGAAGATGGCAGATGGAGATTCCACCCACACATCACAGGTAAAGCTCTATCAGCAGTGACAATCATGATATTTAAAAGCTTTTTGGTGACCTGCAGAGAACAATTTGGTATCTTCCAGGGTCCTGTGGACATTCATCTGAATGTTGAAGACTTCAAATCAGAAAACTTCCTCTCCACTAGTACAACAATATATTTTTTTTATTTTCCAAATCCTGCAGCTCAAAATAGACTGAATGTGAAGATATTTTGTTTGTTCAAGCTTCATGATTTTGAGTGTTACCTCATGTTTTTCAGTTCATTAGGCAGTCAGGACAATGGACTCTGTTGTTGTTATAAAATACAGTATTTTGGACTATCCTTTCACTTTAAGAGCTCTGTGGGCAATTTGGGTACATCACATTTTTGGTAGACATCTGAGAACCCTCACTAAAGATCAACACCATCACATAAATATAAAGTAAAAAGTTATCTAATGCAGCAATCTATTCACATACAGTATATCTTAACTTCCCCTTCTCACTTCTCCTTTGGAGATGAAATTAAATCCACTTTGAAAAGAAACTAAGATCATTCATGAATTCAGTAGACCTTCGCTATTTTAAACTCATCTTCAAATCCTAAGTAAACATAAATACTGTCTTTTTTGCTTTATAGTTCTGCAAGTTCTGAATCCCCCAGAGCTGTTGTTCCTTATTCATTTCCTCAAGGTAAGAATCCAACTACTTAAAAGCCTTTTGCTTGAATTCTTTTTTTCCAAACTAGACAAACCTTTGGTTTTCCATCATAGTTCAGATTCCTCAGTGCTGGTACCAGCAGTGACATACACAGCTTTTTCAAAGTGATGACCTATTTTCTCTACCACAGCTCTGCTCTTACTACAACTATTAAAAAATACACAGTAGAGACAAGAGCTGATTCTTTTGGACAACCCCCAGTTAACCCTACAGTGTGATGTGACTACTTTAATTAATACTGATTGCATTTGGGGATGCAATCAGTGCATCTTGTCCAATGCTGTACAGCAACCACACTAGTAATGAGCTTAATTAATATGCATAAAACAGACCAGATTATAACCAATTAATCTTCAAAAGCCAATCTTTGTGGAGTGCTTCTCCATAATCCAGGGAAAGCAAGAACACTCCTATTCCAGAAGAATGCTGGAATACATCATACTCGTGTTTCAGAGACAATGCAGCAGTTTCAGTTAACCTGCCTCTGAAAGACAGAATGCTGCTACTCATTTGCCTTGCCAAACTTTGAAATATGTCCTGGACCATGAAAAATCAATTCTAGGGGCTTGACAGGTCACAGCAGAGCTGACAATTGGCACTTGGGGTCCTAGCTCTAAACGTGCAGGGGAAGGAAACTTATATTTGGATTAAATTCCATGTCATAAGGACTGCTTATGCAGTCTTTGCCTGTCTGCTGCTATTTATCTTTAAAACCAGTTTGTTTTTAGCAACTACAACATCTGCTAAAATGCTCAAAATACATGTATGAGAGATTTAGGGGATAATGTTTGCTGATCTGTCCAATTTCTTATCTTACATCACTCTTCCGTATTATAAAAAACATGAACCACATACCAATAGAGAATATAAACATTTCCTAAATTTGTGCATGTATTAAAAAATAAAGTCCTGCAAATATGATGGTTTAATATGATGACAGGCTATCTCAGGGAAAATGGTCAGATTACAAAATAGCTTTTATATAATCTGTAATGGAATACATGATGGTACACACCCACCTTCTAGATTCTGAAACTGGGTCAGGAACTCCTTCAACTTTTCTACTGCCCTATCAAACTCCTTTCCAGAAGATGACATCAAAATTTCCACACATTGTTGGAGTATGGTTACCAAATCAGTCTTATTCAGCATCCTAAAAGACAAAATTGTTGGCTGAAGTTGAAATGCAGAATGATGAAACAGCTTTCAATGTTCTTAGTTGAAAAAAGTTAAAAAAAACCCCAACAAATTGAAAAACTCCTTTTAAAAGAAAAAATCTCCAGGATTACAAGCATTCAGTCTTGCAGCAAAGTAATTTTTTTTTCCTGCTATCATTAATAGAAAGAAACAAACCAATTAGTTTTGGTGATGATGTCCTTCATGTTTTCTTGCAGAACAGTAATTTTCCTGATTATCCAAAAACACTTGCTGGACACAGGAGTTGCAATTTTTGAAACTGTGAGTCAGACATCAAACCAAAATTTAAAAAAACCCAACACTCAAAACCAATTCATGGTAGGGTTCAGAATTCATTCCCAAAACCAGTAAATGAAATGGTAAAAAAAAATTCCCTATGTAAACAGATCCACAAAATTAATCTCTGTGACTCAGAATGACTCTCAAATGAAATCTGTATGCTTTTTTCTGTATTTAATTGCTGTAAATATAACCATCACTAGAATCCCAGAACCATTCAAGTTGGAAGGAAACTCTTGAGATCTAGCCCAACCTCCAGCTCAGCATTTACTTACTATTTAGTTATTAGGGCCTCTCCCAAGTGTCACTGAGCACTGCCCAGTCTCAAAATCTTAATGTAAAAGATATCAAAGCAGTGATGGTGGTCAGTGTCTCAAGCAGTGGGTTTCCATATCAGCTACCTAAAAACTGGCTAAGAAATTTAAGGAAGAATTCAGAGGAGGCTGGGGAAGCTCTTTGGATATCTGGAGGGACAACTGCAATTTCAGCTCTAGTTTTTAACTGGCAATAGATACTAAATGCTTTAAAATGTTAAAATTTAAAACTTCAGTTTATCTGCTTCAGGGTTACAGATTTTTGCAAATTAGATATTGCATTCAGATGCACTTGTTTTGTACAGAAAAGCATCAGGAGTTAACAACAGAAAGTGTGACCTTGACCACACAAAACATTTTGAAACTGTCTTGTACTATAACGGGTAAACAAGATAGCCTTGCTCCAGGCCAGACAAAACACTGCAGTTAAACACCCAATATGGAGAGAAAATAAGGGAATGGGAAAGAACAAATTTATTTTCCTACAATTATTCAAAAGGAAACTGCAAGTTCTAGAAAAGCTTATTTACAACAACAATGGGAGGATTACAGGGCCCAAAGACAAGGCAAGAAGACAGCTATCACATATGAGAAAACAGTAAAGATCCTTTGCAACCTTTTAGGTTTGAGATTACTGCAAGGTATGCCAGGTATCAGTGGGGTTAAGATTTTAATTTGGTGAGGAGTCAGGCTTAAAGCAGGAAGGAAGATCTCAGATTACCAAAAGGCAGCAAATAAATCCAACTCTGATTTTATTCAGACAAGTTATACAAGAGAAGAAAGGAAGCTACAATGAAGTCCACAGAAACTCCTTCTGAATGCTGAAGAGGGAAATCACCTGAAGAAGCGATACCATGTTGGTCAGCACCGGTCACAGAAGGGCAGGACTGTGATAAGCAGTATGTGATGAAAAGGCACCCATAATCAGCAGACAAAAACCAGAGTACAACATCTAGACAGAAGACAAGTCCTTGAAGTTTTGCCACCCAAAAGATTGATGAGATGTCCCAGCTAGTTAACTCCACATAACCAATTGAGTGAGATGCTCTCTAATCCTCTTGTGATGGAATTAATGCAAAATGAACTGAAGCTCACACATTCTCTGTCACCCCATGGCATCTTTTACACTCTGGAAAACTCAGGTAGAGTAACTACTGTCTAGATTGCTCAAGTGAGATTACCCGAAGCACCATCTTTGGGAAGAGCACTTCTAGCAGAAGGCATAAAAGCCTGTCCAGGGAAAAGTTGAGGTAGAGAAGCCAATCATGAAAGAAACACAATTCAGAAACTTAAAACCTTACATTCAAACATAATTCATAAAAGGCAAAAGAGGTACTCGGTTAGAAAATGAGAAATGAGCTGATCTAAAGCTTCTCCATTTTTTACTTTCTAAATATAAGGAAAAAAAAGATGGATTCCAGAAAAACACTGAAAAGGAGTAATGGATGGGGAAGGGTGAACATAAGGATATCAACAGGTGATGTGACTCCCAGGAAGGCAGAGATATTAAGGAACAGTGAGTAACTTTTAAACCTGAGCAAAAGGGGAAAAAAAGATTTGAGTAGAAGGGGAAAGACCACATTTTATAATTTTCTTCTAAAAGATAACAGCAAGATTCTATATAGAAAAAGCAGAGATGAGAAGATTTGTAAAAAGGCAAACAGAAGTTAAAAGCTGAAAAAATGACAATCACAGCTAGAATTCCAAGTACTTGAAGAAGTTGTGTTGGACAAGTTTTGCTAGGAAAATGGCAGAATTTCTGAATTAAAAAAAAAATAAAAATCATAGAATCACCATCTATGAAAGCAGAGCCCATGATCACTGTATTTCTATCAGAGGCTCCCACAGTGGGAGCCAGGACCACAAGAACAACAGGAGGGAGATGAACAGATAAGAATAAAAGGGGAGCAAGCCAGAATCTGATGGCAGCATCCACTCTGAGATATGAGAAGAGACAGATGAATTCAGAGAGGATGAAAGCAAATTAAACAAAGGAGAAGAAAAAGGAGAGGGGAAAAAGGCCAAGGGTTATTAAGAGAGTACAGACAGACAGTAGAGAAAGCAGAATGACACATTTGTGGGCAAGAGCCGAGAAGTGACTGAGTGCTGTCAAGATTCAGGAGAATCAGAGAAGGAACACAAAGGAAAGACTGCAGAAATGACAACTCAAGCATGTAATCCCTTCAAAGGGATGAAGGTAAAGAACACAGAAAAGTGGCTATGTGCAAGAACCACTCAGTATGGCAGAGGTACAGTTTAAAGACTGTATTTCCTTGTGTGTGTGTGTATCAGCCCAGAAAGCTACCCTCCATCCACCACTGAAATCGTTTTTTTGTGCAGTTTTACTGCCAGACACATCAAACCTGAGCAGCTCAGGGGGTCTGGGAGAGGCAGTGACAGTTATGGGGTTGTGTGACAAAGCCAAGGGATCATTTGAATGAGTGCAGTATCAGGAGACAGACACTGCCATATGTCTGTTGAAAGCACATTTAGAAGTCTTTAGCTGCAACATTGCAATTGAAAGGTTTTCTATCAAGAAAAGTGGCTTTGACAACTTTGGCATTTTAAACACTGACAGACAACACAAGTACAGCGTCTCCTAAAGTCCTATGCTCACAGTATCAGAAAAAAATAACTCAGTCCCTGTAAAAACTGTTAAGGCAAATCAGGAAGAGAAGGAAAGCAGTAAAATAAAAAAAAGAAAGGCCTCAGCTACTATTCATTGGGAAGAGATTCTAATTTTCACAACAGATTAAAATTTAAGACAACTAAGACTAATAATTTGATTGATAATATCTACCACAATCATACTTTAAAAGACAAAACCCGACTCATTCTCATTCACACAAAGTAATCTCAGTGGTTTCAGCAAAATTACTCAGGGCATATGAGATATGAGAACCTGCCTGAATTTCACAGAAATCAGTAGAAAACCAAACTGAAAACAGCAGCCAATTACACTTGCAAACAACCCTAAAACTAACTGTGAACAGGTAATAGCCTCAGCTTTAAGTTCCAGAATAACTGATGACTGATACTTTCCATGTGTACAGCAGTATTAAAACAAAATGGGGAAAAAAAAATCACCTTGCTAGTTGAAGAGATGACTCATACTCCTCTGTCTCCCACACTCGGTTTTCCAAACAAGCACAGTGCAACTCCCTGATCTGTTATGCAGAAGGTGAAGAAAGGATAAAGTGTTTTACAAAGTAATACGGGAATCTTACAACAAGCTGTTCAAAGCAATATGCAATTCCTTTAGAGCCTGTTTTCCAAAGATGCAGAATGATTGCAAAAGGAATGACAGCTCTTAATATCTTCCAGAACTAAGCTTCTGCTGGAGACTTGCTCTGCACCAGGTTCCAAACAACTAACATTCAGGTGAAGTTAACTGCAGTGAACAGAAAGGAACTCCAATCAAATACCCCAGCTAAAACATCCTTTTATTCTCAAACAGTTCACGATGCTTTTGTAGTCAGTGAGAGATTCTAGTAACAGTATGGAATACATTGAGAACTGAGAGACAGGTGCACATGCACAGAATATATAATTGCTCTTCTAGCAGAAGAAATTGCTTAGCATAAGAAGGTGGAATAAATGACATCAGAGCAATAGGACTATTAACAGAGCAATTATCACTGTTCCTCCTACAATTGCTTTTTTCTGTACAGAAGGCTGCTAAACACTCAGTCTCTTCATCTGAATTTGACTAGTGAACCAATAGGTGGTAGAAGAGTGTACACAGCAATGCATACAGGTAACCTCAGATGTGGGAAAGTCAATGTGTGGATCCTCTTGCTGATCTGTGCACCTGCCTCCTCCTGGAAACTCCTTCCTGTTGACTGACAAGGTATCATCCATGCCAGTAAAGAAACCACAAACTCTCATCCTCTGCCCATAGAAAGAGAGCATCTCTCTCCATTTTAAGGAGCAGGGGGCAAAACAGCACATTATAAATAAAGAGTAAATATTTATTTAACTCATACTTTGAGGGAAAAAAAACCCCAAACCAAAACCACAATAGCAACAACCCAACAAGACCCACATATAACAGAACATCACCTGCTTGCCCAAAGGGTACTTCGGAAGAGAAGATGTGAAAACATGAAGACATCTCAAAATTGGAACATAATTTTCATGGTAAACATGTAAGTCCTCCAGCAACTTCTCTGTTTCTTCCTACAGTGATAGAATGATTTAAAAAGTAGTTCTGACATCCATTTAAAACTCCCATAAAGCACTTAAAATTACTCTGAATTTTTGATATTATACTGTGCTATGATTTAAATCATCAATCTTAAATGGAGACCACTAAGCAAATGAGCTGTATTTCAACAGTACACTGCATTCTCATTGCATATTGTTACCTTTACTTTCTTCCTCCATCTCACTAGAGATTTGCTATTGACTAGCACTAGTATTCTACCATTTTCAACTATATTTAGGCCTTTAGACTTGAAATGTCATCTCATAACAATGAGAGTATACACTATTCCTTTAGCACGCAATGAGAAGTTACGTAGCTACTTTTACTCGAAAATTTGCATTTTTATACTGCAAATGCATTTAAAATTCATTTCTTATATTGTGGGTGGCTGTTGTTTTTATTAGTTACATGTACAAAAAAAGACCAGCTCACATAAAACAAAGAAATATTCAATTGATTTTCCTATGTGTGTTTAATTTGATTTTGCTTATTCATGTGTCAAGAACAACAGAAATAAAAAAAAAAAATCACATTTAAGAAACAGAAATTATTGACTACTGCTACTGAATTTTCTGGATGGCACCACATTATCACTGGCCTGCCATAGAAGCATTTATTGCTTTTGGAAAGCCACATTCAAAAATTCTGGTACCTGTACTGAAGTCATCTAGTCTTTGTGGTCATTACATTTAAGTCTGTGAATCAAAAGATCATCTTTCCTCTGTCTTCAGTCAAAAATAAAGGGGAAAACCCACAGAATCCTCTCTACGTATTTAATTACCCTTTTGCCTAACTCTGAGCAAACTATTCCAAATGGAAAGAGAAAAACAAAATAAGCCACTGAAGTTTTCTAGACTGAAAGTGAAACAAAGGGTATTAAAGATAAAAGAAAAGCAAAACCTTGTCTACAGGCAATATAAGGAGGTACAGATGTATGGAAAGAAAAGGTATCACATTGAAAAGACTGAAAGTAACAAAGACAGTGCTACAGAGAGCTTTCTGATGTTAAAAAAAGTTTTAAATTATTAAAAACATAAACAATCTTTCTCCCCATTTAAGAGAAATTTAAGAGTCACTGATATAACAACTGTTAAGGCACCCTCTAAAACCTTAGGGCAGACATTCACAAGTCTGTATTTTAAGTAGGATCATTATAAAAAAATTATCCCCACCACAAAATAAGCTAAGAAAAGAAAACAAGTTCTCTTCAATGCTGCTTCATCAACCTTATTTCCCCAAAACCCAAGAATTAACACATCTGTATTTCCCTCATCTTGATCATAGCTCAAGACAGATATAGTTAATATAAGTAAATAGCAATGTATTTTGCCAAATAATGAAGTGAAAAGGCATAATCCATTTTAGAAGAGTTTGAAAATATCATTAAAAGACTATGCAATATTATTTCCAGAACAGAGATAAAAGACATAGATTGCCACATTTACATAGTTTCAAATTAAATTTGCTGTGAAACATTTCAGACAGATTTGTTTAAAATTACGATGTGAAATTGCTTTCGAAACTGATAATTTTAAATAGGTGAAACTCTTTCCATAAATATTAAAGTGGTAACAACATGGAATATAAATGAGGCTGATAAAGTGTATTGCAGGTTTAGAGGCTAAGCTGGAAGACTTAAAAGACTAAAGTGACCTGGTGCTGAAACACAAAGTTCACATGAAAGATTACTACAGTGATTTTGAAAGTGTTTCCAAAGCTGGGCATGACACTGTAGATTAGCATGACATCAGAATAAACAGCACCTCATTAATGCAGCAGTGGGACCTTTTTTCCCAGGCAGAATATTCTGCCAGCTTGGCAAGGCAATAATGGTCCCACCTCTATCGTGGAGATTAGAATAAATGTCTGCAATTAAAATCTGTGAGAAGCATCATATGCACCTAAGTATGAGAATTCCAGTTTCCTTCCCAAAGTTAAAAGTTGAGGCTTGTGAAATAAGGGGTGTATTAATAAACATGTAAAGTCATGTTTAATATATATATGTTACATAAACATATTTATATGTTTAAACATATAAAGTTTAAGCTGATGGTTATTCAGCTTTCAAAGCAGGTGTAAATAAAGGGCAAGGGAACAGTTGTAACTTAAGTTATTTTTGCCAATGAAGACAATGGATCAGAAAATGATGTAAAATCGTATCTCATCTTGAATACTCTAACTGTACTTGCCATATTGCTTGCTCCTAACTCCACTCCAGCCATTACCATTGTTCTTCACACTTGAAAAAGACTTACACACCAGGCAAGTCCACCATTTGCCTGACAGGTTACAAATACTTGAAATGAAGAGTCAGGAGAAACCCTTTATCTTCAGCAATGCTTCCACTGGGACTGGCTCAGATGGTGAAAATAACCAACAGATTTTTGTTGGTGAATTCCTAAAGGGTTCATAATAGTAGTAATCTGACTTCAACCCATTGGCAAAGCTTCAGATAAACATATAACAAATTAGTTTTAATCCTGTATGAGGTGTAGGGTGAATGTGTGCCTTGGGACACAGACTCTGCTCTACTGAGTTCAATCAGAAACTATGCAGAGGCTATGAAGGATTAAAAGCTTATGAAATAACCTCCAAGATAACTTACACATTCTTCAAACACTTAGCTGACCTTCCAAGAAAGTCAGTCTGGGCAAGCATGAAAAGACCTGGTCATAAATAAACCTTGTATCCTTCTTTTAAGCAATTATATTTCTAGACATAGCTAAAAGTTGATGTAAGAAAGTTGTGCAGCTTCATCTAAAGGCTGACCTGGCAACCCTAGAGATTTGGAATTTTGATCTGCCAATCCTAATTCTTCATTACTGGTCACAAAGCACAGTATGTTCTGTATGAAAGATATTAAACAGAACTATATGTCTTGGTCTTGTATTTTATTATATTCCACAAAGTGATATATTGGGCAAGTTATTTCTGTTCTCCAAAGACATTCTTAAAATTTTACCTTTAAGAAGCTGTCGTTTGTCAGCAGTTCAATCTGTTTCCCTGACTCTTGCTTTTCCACATACCTTATTGGCAGGAAAAAAATAAAACCAACATAAAATTATAATGTAAAGGAAGATCCTAGGGTGAAAAACATTTAAAATGCTTATGCTGCTATAAGAAATATGCATCTTTCTTTGGAAAGATTCAAAAGGATTCAAAAATCCAACAAATTGAAAGGCCACTCCAAAACTCTAGAGATTATGCTTCAAATCAGCTTAACAAGTTCAAAAGTGATTTACAGTTATTTGTCAGAATAACTTGTTTCTGTATTAAGAATGAGAAGAAAAAAAAGTAAATTCAAGTGATTACACATCACAGAAGCTGTACTCTCTAAACTAGAACATTAAGGCTTCCTGAAATTATTTAGAAATGTCCTCTGTTTGATCAATTTACCTTTGCTATAGAAAGTACACAAATGAGCTACAGTGTTCACAGAACCACATTTATAGATTCTCTTAATTTTTTTAAAGCTAATCAATACATGATTGTCCAAGAAATGCATTTCCACCCTTACCTTCTAAAAGAGGGCAGTCTTCGAATGTTTTCACACTGATTATGTGATAAAGAATAAACTCTCTTCTTAATGTCTGCCAGGTGGCAACACAGTACACTGAGAGGCTGGGAATAGAAATGCTCCACAATACAGAGCTGAAAAACAAACCAAGAACTAGGGATGTTAATAAAATTCAATCTCCCTGCTACATCTACCTTTTAATGCTTTCTTACTAATACATTGCATATACTACAATGGTAGTAATGGCACTCCTTTAAAAAAATTAATTACAATTCATAAATATTCCATAAGTCACTACAGGACATTGATTATATAGTTGTTACAGTCACATAATAACCTTCTTTGCTATATGTGCTATTCATTTTCAGTACCTCAGCTTTTCCCCCCTTCTTATGTAACATCACACCTAGCTACAATGACATGATGCTGATCTCTTGTATTTATCACTTCGAAAATCTGATCTGCAATTGCTTCATCCTTGAATTCTTTTACACACAAGGACACAGCCATACACGGTCTAAAACTTGTATGTGCATGTCAGGCCAATGCAGAAGTACTAAACTTTGATGACTCTTTCAAATAAGAGGAGCTGAAACCTATGAAAGACCACAAAGGTCTGTCTTCAAGAAGAGATACTATGGCCAGGATATTTTTCCTGGCCACCTGTAATCATTGAATCTTATATATCAAAAAATCAGAGAAATTCTAAATGTATATGACATTAAAAGGGCGTATTTTACTAGCAGGTTCACACATGGAACTAGGTAAGAAAGAAACCATTTCACAAGCCTGCATTAAAACAGATGACAGGGCCTACAAATTCTTCAGAGAACTCTTGTCTGCAATCCACAAAAACTACAAGGAGACCTAGACACAGAAATACATCTAGATATGAAGAACTATACAAGACAATAAAAACTTAACTATCATGCTCTCTAGAGACTCTTTTTGGAAACCCTCTGAGCTCTTCCACTTTGTCTCCTGAGAGAGGGTAAATATAACTCCCACATTGCTACACAACTGCTTGGAGCACAAGTATTACTTCCTCTGAGCCACCAAGTAAATGACCCTGCAGCTCCTATTTCCCTGAAAAGGCAGGAAATGTGCATCCAGAAATTGTGCCAGAGGACTTAAAGTGGGGAAGAAACTCTGCTGTAGCCTACTCACACCTACCCAAACCAGAGACCAAGGAGCTGGTACAGATGATCAGAACTGGGGACTTCTGTAAGGGGTGCTAGAAAGCTACAAATGAATCTATAGCAAAATACAGCTCTTTCTGCCCACGAAGCCAGGTCACTCTTTTAAACCTAACCTTAAAATATCATTGGTTTTGTGGCACAGTAAGCTTTTATTTGCTTCTTCATACAGGTCCTACAAGTTTGCTCTTAAACCCTTATCAGTAAAGATTTTAAAATATCCATCTGTTCACAGATCCAAACTGTTTCAAAGGATATTTTTTCATGCAATTCAGCAGTACTAGGACCTAAGAAATCTTTCAGTGCCCAGTAATTACTCATTGTTTTCACAACCATCATTTGGATTCTTGTTACCACTGCCTACCTGAAATCCTTTGATAAAATTCTGTACAGAAAAGTCATGGTACAGGAATATGTTGATGAGAACCTGCAGAACTTTTTCTCCCAGTTTGAAGGGAAACCGGGATGTCAGAAGCAGCTAAAAGGGAGACAAAAAGAAGAAGTAGCCACAGCAGAAACTCTCTCCTGAATTCAAATCAGTAAAACTTATATGTGCAACTTGGTAGAACTCTTAGTATGTGTTAACATTCAACTAAATGAGATACTAAATACACTGCCAGCTTCTAAAAACAGTATTTCTACTAAAATATCCTTGCAAAGATTGATTTTTAAAGTTTATTATTTTACTGCATTTTCCTAAGTATCTTTCACTAATGCAACATTTTAAGTTAATTTTGCTTAATGCTATTTTTGTAAAAGTACAAATAGAACAGAGACTGCTGTAATAAACAATGATACCACTACTTTCAGCACGTGTAACAGATTTTGGAAATCCTGTGGTCTACCAAGAATCCACAGGCACAACATTTACATGGCTTGAACATATGGATAACTCAGCTAATGTTTGACAGGTGGCAAAACTCAGGCTGAACTTTATTTTTCAGAATTTTAGCTAAGTTTCAAAGCTATCTTTTTCTGGTACAAAGTAAAACTGAAATTACAGCTCAACTTTAATGAAGAAGTGTGAATGTCAAAGTGTAATTGCACAAGGCAATGCAAATGGAAGATGAAAGCAGGTGTGTGTATGTGTGTCTCAGTATGAGAAGAGAGCTCTCACTATTACACTACTCTGCACCTGCAAGTAGAAATATCTAAAATCCACAGCTCAGGAACAGAGTCCTTTCCAAAACCTTCAAACAAACCTGCATCTAAAGGCTACGCATGTAAACTGTGTTTCAATACACACACACTCCTCACTTCTGTTTAGAAATGGAATTACCTTGTCAATTATAGTAGACAGGTGCTCCTTACAGGAAAGGGATTGGAAAAGTTCTATGCACAGCAGAGAGGACACTGAGTGAGGAAGCAGTCTGTGGATAATCATTGGTGATGTAGCAATTCCAAAAATCAGCACTAGAGGTAATTCATGGATATGCTGACTGGATAATGGGGGAAGAGGACAAAAAAGTAATAGTTACATTATAGAAGCTTGTGTAACAAATGCATTATGTTCCTACTACAGCACTGAGTTTCAATGCAGAAAGGGGTAAATTAAAAGATTTGCTGCTGATAAACCAAAAGAAGAATTCATGTGGAATAAAATTAAAAAGAAAGGATGCTATTTAAAGCCCTAAAGTAGATAAGAAAATGAAACTCCATTTTCAGATTCAGATTTCAGAAAGTGGAACAAAAAGCATCATTTCCGTAAGTTTTGTGCTGATCCTAGCTTCCCAAAAAGTTATATTCAGAGAGCTGAGTCTTAAAATAGGATTTTTTTTAAAGATACAAAGAAAAAATAAAAAGACACATTAAATAGGTAACAGCCAAGAAAATGTACAAGATTTACACCTTTTAATAAAGTCAAAATAAATACGAAATATCTCCAATGTCCAGAGATAGTGAGTGTTCCAATTACACTTTAAAAAATTTCCAACTTCTCCAGATTAAACTTCAGATAATTTTTTAGTATTTGCTTTAGAACTGAAAATCAGGACTGAATGTGTATTCCTTGAGGACAGCATACAATTTATACAAAATACAATGTTTTCACTGTATTTTCAGTGTTTCCATTTTTAGTGGTTTCAAGGAGGTACAAAATATGCTATCTTATATACCTTCTAGGTTAAAACTGTCAACTTATTCCTTTCCTTTGTTTTTGCCACAGCAACTTTTTGACTTTGGATTTTAATTGTTATCCCACAATTACTTTGTTTCTCTAACTCCTCAAAAGAAATAGCTGAAGACAAACATAAAACCAATAAACTTCATACATTACTGTCCACTCTTGATAATCTTAGAGAATCTTAAAAAGGAATCAGAACTTGTGATCAACAAATCATAGGAATTTCTCACATTTGTCCACTTCACCTTTATTATTAAACATGTTTAAGACTGAGATGAAGATAATAACACAAGCTATATAATTTCTTGCTGTTAGTACAACAAGTGAATTGCTGAGGAATTGCAGCCCCAATTCTAACAGCTCCAACCTTGGGACTTAAGTGCATGGTGCTCTTTTTGGAAAGCAGCATGAGTTTTTGATTAGCATGCCTGAGATTACATTAAGGAAGACAGAAACAGAATTACATGAAGGAAGACAGATTACATTAAAGAAGAACAGAAGTACAGGAGCACCTGAAGTAGTCAGCTGCTGCTTACAGATCCTGGCCAGCTGGGGAAGTTTTACATACACCCCTATTAGTAAGCTAGTGACCTTCAGGAGCAGCATTACCTCAACAGTCACACAAAAATACACTCTGCAAACAATTTTAAAAGATCTAGACATCTTGAAAATTTAGTTTCACATTCACAAATTTTTCAACAACTAGTACCAGTAAATCCTATCATGTGAAGAATTCAATCAGCCACCCCTTATCTCAACCTGGCCCTTAGGCACTCTGGTTCACAGTCTGAAGTTTAGCTTTAGTGTAATTTACCCCTAAAACATAGCAAGTAGTTTTTGCTCAATCACTGCTGCAAAGAAGCAGCACAATATTTGATTCCAATGCTTCACTGGCCTAACTGTTAAATTTCAAAACAGCTGCAAACAGAAAACAGGTAAAGGAGTGGAAGAACTAAAGTTCAAGTCACATTACCTGCTGATGACTATGAAGTCTTGAAGAACTTTTGTGGTGAAACTTTCCATGTCTCTGAATATGACTACAACTGGAGGAGACTGCCAGTGTCTAGAGGAAGAATTTCTTTTTTTGCTTGGAGTTTCAGAATCTGTTTTCTTTAAAGCCATTAATTAAACATTAATACACAGAAGCCAGCAAAATAAAAAAGACTGAATCATATCTATGATATTACAGTACTCCAAATTGACATGACTAACTTTTTGTGAGCTGTATTTATTATTAGCACCCAAAACTGCCATTTTTCTTCCTTCTGTTTGGCATAGCATGAAGTACAAAGAATAAAGAGATTTTAAACACACAATCCAACAATGACAAGAATAGCTCTGAGACACAGAACTGGTGGAGTTCTGTTGGGAATGCAGGAGATTTGAATTGTGTACACAGACACTGCTTATTTTCTGTATCTTTACCCAGTAATAAAAAGACCATGCACTCAGTACACTTTGGTTTATCACACTGCTCTAATGAAGTCATCAGGAAATCAGCTGTAACTTGTATTCATGACAGAAACAAAACTTAAAACTTCAATAGCTTTAGAAGACAAAGATATGAAAACATTTTGAAAGTTATTTCCTTACTGCTTGCCAATGCAGTGTGGGCTGCAGATGACATCATGGCCCTTTAGCACTAATACAGTACCTTTGCCCTGGAAGGCTGTTCTTCTGTAAAGTTTTGTTTTAATAAACAAAATAACTCAGCACTCCTGGGAGAAAAGCATCTGGCATGACGCTGATACTGCATTTTAAGCTTCCAGTTCCCAATTAAACATATGATAAAATAGTACTTCTTGCTTGTGTTTGATAATTCTGACATTCATACATCATAGTAACTAACTCCACATTGTTTCTATGTGTCACATATTATATTCAAATCACCTCAATATCACGTTATTTTAAAAAAATTAACCTTCGGCATTTTCTCACAAAGAGCTGAATTATTAAATTTCTGTTTTAAACACAAAGCTGGGTTATTAAATTTGTTTTGAAGGTCAGACATTTTGATAAACTGGGGATAAAAAAGGCCAACAACATACCTTTGTTACACTGTCATACCAGCTGATGAGAGAAGGCATTGAACAACGTATTCTATTCTGTGAAACCTGCACACAGTCCTCATCTTCCAGTGAGTCCACATCTAGATCACACTTCATCAGCTGTCCCATCAGCTTCTGCATCAGATTTTTTATGCCTTCACAAAACATTTTGAGAAACGTGGTAAAGACATTTGGTTATCTGGCAACACTTCTCTGTCTCATACTATAAGAAACGACCCCAAAGTTATTACTCATTATTTCCCACATTTCTAATTACTCTCCTTCTCTCTCCAGAATGCACATCTCCAGCTCCTAAAAGCATTAATGATATGTATGCTGTTCATGCAATTTGCCTACATGGCAACAACTGAGGTTAAGATGTTGGTCTTCCATCTTAACTGCTATGCTACAGCTAAGGAGCACTGCAATCTTCAGTGTTTTAAACTGAACTGGATACTTCTCAAAATACAGTAGGCATTACTGCTCTGCTTACATAGGTTTGAGCAAATCTTTGGAAAGTCTTCAGGATCCCTCTGTCCATTAATCTTGCATTTAGGGGCAAAAGCTAGAATTCCTACTTGATTTGATACCATATTCAAAAGAAGCAGCTACACTATTTCAGTATTTACCTGGGCAATCTTTGGCTTCCAGCAAGGCTACATAAGGAGTAATGTTATCCTGAAGAACATCTGAGAGACCTCTGAAAGTCAAGTCATGATCTGTAACATTCACACCTAGAAAAAAAAAAAGGACAAAAATTTTAAAATCTAAAATTTTAAGTAATTTTTTCTCATGACTTGTGAGCACAATGATTGGACAATAAACTGAACAGTAGACAAAAACCAGAAGATACCTCAAATATTTAATGAAAAGAATGAAAAGTATCACATCAGCTGTGAGGAAAGATGAAAAATTAGCACAAGATTAGACATGCATGTCGATAGTCCCTGATTAAGAGTAACAAGGAGTCACTGTGAATACCCTTCATCATATAGCTTGGTGGGGTTTTTAAAAGAAAGTTTTCCAAGGGTGCAAATTTGCAATAAAGACTGGTTTTCTAACATCCCCCAGAAGCCACCCACAGCCATGTAAGGCCTGCAGACAAGAAGTTAAATTTACCTCCTCTAGAAGAATACTGCATCCATACCTGGATCCTCTCATGGCTCATGTAAAGAGGAAAATTACTGTAATTTGCTGTGAAACTCAGTCTGAATTCACTATGAACTACCTCGTATTTACTGCCTTTGTTAATATCCTTAATCGACAGAAAAAAAAAAAGAACAAGCCCCTCAAGGAGGCAATTCAGAACTTTGTCCACAGAAATATTTGAAGCAGTAGTTTTTCACTTTCTATTACCTACAAAAGTTGACTACCATCCAATCTTTGTTAGTGCCTACATGGTCAGTTTGAAGCACAAGTCTGATTTTAATTTCCCTAAAATAATCCACTGAAAATGTAATCCACATGCCTTGAATCAGGTTTAGGATTTATAGGTACAAACCTCAGAAAAAAAGGAGAATGGAAGAAAAAAAAAAATACTTCAGAACTTCAATAACTTCATCTCCAGCTATTTTTTTCCCCCCTGTGCTCTTTTCCCAAGACAAAGACATTACTTTCCTTCATGTAAATTTGCACTGCAAGAACACTTATCAGAAGTTATACAATTCCTATGGTTAAGTAGTAGAAACCACCAAGCATGCTGGTGGCAGAAACAGGACCTAATCAAAGTTATCTCCAATGCCTCAAACAAAAAACCTCAAATCGCTCCCAGCTGCTTAAGAGAGACCTGTAGGAGAGTTGTTGACCTACTGGACTATTAAACAACATAAACAAAAGGGGAAGGAGGTTTTATCTGACTTCCTTCTCCCCACCCAAGCTCTTCTGTTGACATGTTTGAGGCTGATATTGCTCACAGTAATTGCTGGGATTCAGTAAGTTTCTTTGATGTGTCTGTGAGATTTAATCAGATGTACATTACAAAAAATATCTTAAAAAAATTACCTAAGACAAGAGCTGCAGTAGGGATTTCTTTGAACTTCATCCTGCAAGTCCATTCTGTTTTCTTCTCTTGAAAGTCAGAATGAGACCGGCTCAAAAAACTCACCAGATTATCAAGCAACTGCTTATTCAAGTTTTCCTGTATTTTCTGCAAACATACACAGAGAGAATTGATCTATAAAATGTAAAAACACCACTGCATTGCCCTTTTTCTACTCCTTTCCTGCATAATCTTTAACTCTTAAAACCCCAGGGTTTAAAATTCTCCTATGGTCTATAAACCACACTAACTTATTAATTGTGTGGCAAACAGCCATTTCCCATCTTGGAACTTCTGGTCAAGTGCCTCAAGAATAATTTGAAAAGCAAGTGTGTGTGTGTTGTCACAGCACAGGCTTTAAAGAAGGAGAAAAAAACCAACATACTGACAAAGCCTCAGTGATGCAGGCAGAAAAAACCAATATAATTAGTTTCTGGAACAATGGTAATGGAAATTCCTATTCTTCCTGCTCACCTTAGAAAACACATTTTTCTGAGAGATCTAAATGAGAGCAAATATTCTGCTCTTCTGAATCTAATTTGGGATGAAAGAAGTAAAAACAGTATTAAAAGAAATAATTAAGTATGTTTTATAGGAAAAATACTAAACCATGTGACTCCAATGTTTGCTACACTGCCTTTTGACATTCAGGACTATTTTCACACAACAATCTGCATAAGCAGGAACACACAACAAGGTGACAGAAAGCAGGGGGGGAGATAAAACTTTTAAAAGCAAATATATGTCAGTAGTATTTTGTGTTTCTTTTTTTTTTATCTATGTGCCTTTGAAAATCTGTCCCTCAACCAAGATATGCCTTATGCTAGAACAGACAAAAAACCCTCCTGTACTCTGAAGTTCAGGATATCAATATATACTCTAGAACACGCATGTCAGAAACAAGATTAAACCCTTGCTCCAAACAAAATCATCATCAAGATTTATTAGCAACAAAAATTAACACACACAGCTGTGAACTTGATTTTAAGCAAAGTGGCAAAGGCTGTCTCTGGCAGCATTAAAGAGGTCACTATCAAAGAGTGATGGTCACATCTCCAGGAGGTAGCACATGATGCCTGCTCAATAGCCTGAACTCCATTTCCATAATACACAAGGGCTTCTGTTGGTCTCCTAAACAACTGATAAAACTGTACACAAAGTAATTTTAGTCTTTTCATCCTCCACTTATTGAAGAATATTCTTCTGGCCTTTCTGATATTGATTGTGCAGCTCTGAACTCCCACCTACTAAATCCTATGCAACTCAGAAAAAAATGCAACATAACATTTTAGGAAGAATTTACATCACCAGCATTATAACACCATTGTAACAATTCCTGTATTACCACAGATTCTTTAACAATCTTTCTGAGCTTCTGTTTCAGATTCCATCAAACCCTATACTTCCTGTGATCACTATTGTTTTTGCTAAGCTGACCTAACAAAAACCTCAATTTTTATTCTGCATGATTACAGTATATATTATTTCTTACATTGTGCACTTGTGCCAATGGAATTCAGTCTGCCACAGCATTACACATTTACCTAGTTTTCTAAAATACATCAGAGTCTTTTCTTGGCAAAAGAACTTTGTTACGAGCATTGTTTTAATAATGTTCCAGAAAGTTCACCAGGCTGCTCTGCATCTCAAGTGACCAAGTCACTTACTTCCATGGCATTCTCACTCTGGAAAAGTCATGGGAACTGGAAGTTCAGTTACTGCCATGACACCAGGTTTCATCAAGACTATTTGTTATGTGGTCTGAAAACCATTATCTTTATATTAGAGCAAAAATTATTGTATTTTAGCCCTGCACTTTGCTTTTTTGTTTCTAGCCCAGATCCTGGCAGAACAAATTCTCGTCTCACAGCAGAAGAATGTTTCTGTAAGCCCTTGAGGAGATTTATCATAAGAACATTTCCAAGGCCACTTCTGACACCAGAAGTCAAAACTGGAATACACTGTGATACTGAAACTAAAAAAAGTCCAAAATTCACCTTCCAAAAACCAAGGGTAGCTCCTGCCACACTTCTGCCAGCTTTTTAGTTGTGAGAAGCATGAAAGGATGTCATCACCAGATGACAGATGATGCTGTCACAACCACAGCACAGTTTACGATGGACATACAAAGGCCAAGAGTGCTCTACAACAAAGCGCCTTGGAGGGCAAATCCTCTCTGAACACCTCAGGCAGAGAACCAGGAAAACACCAGCACAATCACAAGGCCTGTCAAAAAATCACCAGGCAGCAGTGCCCTGGCAAAACCTTTGGAGAATGTCCTGCTAGGCTCCCTTAGTATGCTACCAGAACCCATTAGAATAAAAGCCCAAACCAGCAAGCCACATGCTTCCCACCTACTCTGCCACGGGTCAGGTTTGCTGCACTAGTGTTTGAAAACACCTAAGAAATGAAATCCTGACTAGCTAAAGACCTCACCTACCTGGTCTGACCTCAGAGATGATGCTGCTTTGAGGAGTTCACACTAGAGACTTTCTAAGGCCCCTTCCAACCTAAATTACCACACTCTTTTAGATGTAAGAACAACCATCAGCTCCATGTTTGCCAACAACAGAATAAAAGGATGATTCAAAACTCAGTAGGAAAGATATCACTGATACACCAGAGGCAGAAAAAAAGTCTCTGTAGAAGCAGAAATAACTTCAGTTAATCTGCCCTTGGGCAATTCAAACTCTAAAAAAATACTCATATCAATATGTCAGAATGGGAGGAATTGTCTTCCATCAGGAGGAGTAAGACCAGAAGAAAGTATCTGGAAAACTCCTATCAGCCTCAGAGAAAACAAGGGTAGGAACAAAATTAGAGGAATTTATGAGCTTAGCCCAAGGGTCCAGATTTTATGCTACATGCATCTGGCTTCTACTGCACATTCAAAAACAAACTTTGGAAAAATCATTCTCCTTAATGTCTGTAGAGCCCAAGGGCAAGCAGAGGAATATGGAATACTTGCCCAGAATCCATGACACTGAATAGAGGAGGGAAGGAAATCTGCTGTATGGAAGCAATTATTCATACTATAATGCAAGCCAGCTGGCTGTAGGGACACAACAACAGCATGCCATGTAACACACAACAGTCAGGAGGCCACAGTTCAGCTTGAAATTAACTCTGACTCCATTCACACGTCCATACTAATTCAACAGGCCATATTTGCAGCAGTGTCACTCCATATTTGACATCCATGCAGCTGTGTTCACATAAATCCACTGTGAATCCTGGGCTGCTGTGTATGAATTCTGGAACACTGAGGTCAAGACCAGCCCAAAATCCTCAGAGGGCTGGCAAGCATTAACTGAACTAAAACAGCAGTATGCCAGGAGTTAATAAAGAAGACAATTAGTAGGAAGAGAAGCTTAGAAGCAGCAGCTTGAAGCTGCAAAAGTGTACAGTTCTGTGGTTACAAGTAATGTATACTTGATGCATCTATTATTACTACTTTATATTCTGGACAGTCAGTATTTCTGGCTGTCCCATTGCTTTAACTAACTGCCATACACTTTTAAGCACGTCAAAAAGATCCCCAGAAACAAAGAAGCAAGCAGCACTGTTACAAATGCAAAGCACCACTTTGGCGTGAGGCACAAGACTCACTTCTGTTTCAGATTTGATCTGGTTCCATAAAGACTGACAGGTGACAAACCGTAGCTCAGTGTCCTCTGAATCATTGCTTGTGCATCTGAAATCATGAGCTGGAAACACAGAAAGCAAATGAAAGCACAAATAAACTCATGAAAACAAAACTTTTTTTCCTGAGAATAAAAAAAAGGGCCCAATTGTACATATATATTTCAGGGAGATGACTTTTCTCTTAAGCAATTAATTAATTGCTGGTATTTGGTAGAATAAGCAAGGGAACAAGCAGAATCTATTACCCAAGTATGCAGGCAAAAGGTAAAGAAGAGGTTTCTATCTCAAGTCCTAGATAAGCTAAAGACTAAATCAGAGCAAACAGCCTATAACAATAAAGTAAAACAAACATCATCATCATCTTGCTCTTGTCTCACAAAGCTTTGTGGGTCCACTTGGCTGCCATTCAATGGAGCACCAGCTGTGGCTTGATCTCTAGAAAAGAGCCAGCTGATGAGCATAATCTCCTACAGCACTAAACCCACCCAAACCAGGTCTGTAAATAACAAATAAGAGACATCCCTCCACCTCCATTTTCATTGTTTCCTCTATCACCTCACTTGTACCCCCCAAGAAAAATCACTTAGAATACATAACCAACTCTGATTACACAGATCTTAAGACTTTTAGTTGAAGAAAATCCAGCCACCACATTATCTGGTAACATATAATAACATACCAAGGCATAATATCCTTTTTTCACTACCAAAACTCAAACTATAGGCACAGATGTCCTCAAAAGGCCTTTTGTGGGCTGTGACAGTATTATCAACTATTGATGCAGAAGAGTTCCACAACTAAAACTCCCCATTGGACAGGACTGGGCTTACAGACTGGACAGATGCACATCCAAGTACATATTTTAGAACACCACTCTAACCAACTGCTGTGAAACTGTGTCCTCTGCCTCTCTCTTTTAGGGCTACTCCAGTCAAATTTATTTTTCCACCTCAAAGCATTTGCTAACTAGAACAATATGCTTAGTAGTTTATCCAAGCATGTCTAATCTCACAAAAACAAAAACATAATATCCAGTAAGGGGTAAAATTTCAATGTGGTCTAAATGCATAGGCCTTGGTTGCTGCAATGACGAAAATGTGACCTCACTACTTTCCTCTCCATCTTTTTCATATAAATTGTCAACCCTTTTGACAGCTCTAATGATGATAAAAGTAGTTTAACTTGGGAATAAAAACAGTAAGTCTCCCAACTGAGTCTCAAATAGCAATTATTTAAGATACATTATTTCTGGTTCCAAGAAGAGTCAGTCCTCAAATGAAAACAGACATGCATACACATCTAGAGAAAATGTATAGCAAATATTTACTATCCACAGCAAATACTAGTGGACAGAAGCCACAAGTGGCTTTTCTTCCTTCTTTTCCAAAAGAAACGTAGGCAAAATACCTAATGTATTTTGTATATAAAATACAAAATGTGAGATTTAAGGATGGGATACAATGTCTGACTAGCACAGCTTAAAAATGGCTCATTCAGATCTTCAGGTGAATTGTTTGTCTGTTAGCAAAATACTTATGGTAGCATGGTGAGGAGTTATCTTGTAAAAAAAAGTGAAAAGACAAAGATGGCTATACAATCTTGATTGCTGGAGATGAGAAAAACCCAGTATTTACTCTAGCCAATAATTTGCTTGCATTCCTCCAAAGGAATGAGTTTTCAGCAATCAAACAGTAAGAGAAAACCTCACACAACTATCACAGAACTCATGATATGAACTCAATCAGATATGATGAAGCTTTCAGGATTAACCCTTCTCAAAAACAGAAACATAAATGAAAATGTACTAACCTGTTTTATCAGACAATCTTCTCTTCTTGGTACTGGGTTTAAAAACAAAGCAGCCCTAGAGAACAGCAAAAAAAACCCAAACAGATTTCAATACAAGCATCAATCTGACTGGCTCCAGAGGCCACTTCATTGTTCTTTTATTTCAGTGCTCCATTAAAACAATAATTTGCACTGAATTGCCAGCCTCTTAAGAGTATCAAGTTACACGTTGCCCCTTTGTATTTGTGCTTCAAGCTGGAACACTAGTGGAAGCAGTAACCCAGCACACTTGTTAGGAATTTTTTTCATCTTTCCACTATGTTTTGCAATTCAACCATCAACTGGGCCAGCAGCAGATTCTTTAAATGTCTCAAAACCTCCAACAGGTTTAGAATTAAAAGGAAATTATTCCCTGGGGACACATCAGTACGGTTTTCTCAGTACAGTTTCAGTTAAATACAAAACAAAAGGTAAGAGGCAGAGATTAATGGAAAACTCAATCCAGAATAATGCAATGAGCATTATTAAGTCACTTACAAAAGGAAATGAACATGCCCAAGCCACAGTGAACTGCATCCCAACTCAAAAAAAGTAGGTGGTTAGAAGCAGAATGACAAATGGTTGGGAAAAGGTTCATATAAAACCCTCTGTTCCAACAAATTCCTGTAGAGAGAAGTAATCTCCCAGTTAGACCTATTTCATCACTCAAGTATTAAGCTTTGAGTTCTTTAAGATTTTTTTCATTTTCTTCTAGAAAATCTGAAATTTCTTCCCCCAGCCTCTCTACAGAAGTTCATCTCTTTTGAAGAGTTACTGCACTGCCCAACTCTCTTGTGAGGTTCCTATGCTACAGCAAGGGGAAGGAAACACCTAAGTGCTGGAAATAAACAGACTGATTCAATCCCATATTTCTCAATGGAGATGCTTATACAGGGACTGCTGAACTCAAGCTAGCATAGTTCAGCCACTTGAGTAAGAATGATGTAAATCAAACACCAGAGGTATGTTCAATTTTGATGACAGTCACCAGTCTGTTGAGTGACTTCAGACATGTTATTTCCTTTCTTCCACAAGTAAGAAACTGGAGTAAAACACCAATATCTATATTGACCCTCTCTGAAAAACAGCCTCATGAACTGGAGATGCCTTCAGACACAACCCATTTTACCATGTGTGTTAAGGACCATTTAAAAACAGCTGGAGAAAAGTTGTGGTTATTCTACAAGTGCTAAACACTCTGGAACAATTCCACTGCAAAAAGGTGTCCCACGGATTTATTTGTGCTGCTGCATGCACAAATGGAATTGGCCACAGGAAGTATAAATCATATACAAAAAAGAAGAGTGGATGCTTAATCAAACCAAACACAAATGCAGCTGAATGCTTTGCAAGCATTGGCTTTTCCACACCACTAAATGTGGCTGAGAATAAAATAGAATAAAACTAGAACGTAAAACTGCAAAGAAGTATTACATATAAGATATGGGAGGCAAGGTGAAGGACATGATTTACTGCCAAACTATCAGGCAACAGCCACTGTCAAAAGTGAAATCCAGCTGTTTCAGATTAACTCCTAAGTTTGTTTGGAAGCACTTCACTTCTGGAAGCAATCACCTGCACAGTGCCTTCCACACCAAAGGATGCAGCTGCATATCACAACCCAGTGAAAAACATGGGAGGGGCAGGAGTCTTCCTGTGCTGATAAAACACACTGTGAACCACTGCTGTTGTTCACTGTATGACCAAACAAGAGATGAAATAAGTTGTGTTTCAATCCAACATTACGATGAAAGCACTATCCCTACTGCCCGCTCTGAACACAGCCCACATAAAAGCTTTCAATTCGGAAATATTAAGGGAATAACAAATATTTAACACTACATGTGGGGGACAGCACTTCTATTTCTTCGCTGAATTAGTTTTGGGGCAGAGAAGCAATGAAGATGGCAGCAAGCAAAGCCACCAGACTTCACCTGGAAGTGACAAAACCTTCAGCCACATAGCCCAGGCTCTGTTCTGGGTGAGATTTACTGGAATTAAGAACGGGTTTTGTTGTGGAAGGAAGGCAGGTGACACTGCGGGGTCACTCAGCACTCACGGTGTTACTCTAGGACTGCCCTGTGCAGGGATAAGCGCTGGACTCCATGGTCCTTGTGGCCCCCTTCCAGCCCAGGAAACGCCGTGATCCTGTGGGACTGACTGCAGTGAGGACAAGCAGCGTCTTGGGCAAGGCGAGGCCGGGCAGGGATGAAGAGCTAGCAAGGCTTTGGGAAGGGCTGGGCAGCGGAACAGGGCAACCGGGAGCCTGGGCACCACCAGGGAGGCGGGAAGGGTAGCGGCGGGAGGAGGCGGGAAGAGGAGCAGGCGCAGGAGGCGGCGGAGCCCAGTGCCGCGGGTCCAGCTCCCACCGACCGCGCTGCTCCCTGGGGAGCCCCCCCGCTCTCTCCGCTCCTCACCTTGGAGACGGAGCACGTGCTCATGTCGCCCCGCGCCCGCCGGTACCGGAGAGCACCAGGAGCAGCAGGAGGAGGAGGAGGAGGAGGAGGAGGAGGAGGAGGAGGAGGAGTTCCCGCGCACGCGCACTCCCGACGCACCGCCCCCTCCCTGCGCGTCCCCGCGCCGCTGCCCTTTCCCTGAGCAGTGGTACAGCCCCCTCTGCGCTGCGCGATTCCTCCACCCCCAGCGCAATCAATGGCCTCCTCCTCCCCCTGTAGCCTGAGAATGGTACGGCCCAGCCCGCCCCTGGGCGGGCGGAAAGGAGCGGGGCGGGGGGGGATAAGGGTCGGCGGTGGAGCTTCCGCTGGGCGGTGTGGCCATGGCAGCAGGTTCTTTCCGGAAGAGCATTGCCCTCCAGGTACGCACTGCTCCTTCCCACGGCTGGCGTGGAGCGGGAGTGCCCCCCGAGCCAGGTGTCCCCTCTGTGCCCTCACCACAGGTCCCCCCTGCCCGGGGGCTCACAGTGGGCGCGACCTGCGGGCGCGGGCTGGGGGCGCGGGCTGGGGGCGCGCTCTGGGGTTCCCGCAGGGATCGGGATGGATGGAGTGAGGGTGTGAGGGATTGCCGCCATCCCTGGATGGCTCCAGGCCGGAGCGGTGGGCTCTGAGCAGCCTGGCCGGCTGTGCAAGGTGTCCCTGTACATGGCAGGGGTTGGAACGAGATGATCTTTAAGGTCTCTGCTAATCTAAACCATTCTGTCATTCCATGATTACTTCAGTCCATTAAGGATCCCGTGGGTTCGATGATCCCATGAGGTTCGATGGGATCCTTCGTGAGGAAAAAAATAAATTTTCTGTGGTGTTTTGACTTGCCTTTTTTCCAAGGTTGCTTTAACACCTTTTAGGTTTCTATTTTATTGTAGTTTTGCTGTTTTTTACCTGGGCTGAAATTAGATTTCAGATATAAAAGGTGTATCCCCCGTGGGTATTTAAACAGGGAGCAGTATTTTTCCTTGCATCTTTGTCTTTTTGCTTAAGTCATTTTTTTCTTCATTTTCAATTTAGCTTTCAAAAGTTTTGGATCTGCCACCAGAGAATTTAATAAAGTCCATATCTGCAGTTCCTGTGTCCAAAAAACGGTAGCTGTTTACATTTTTCTTACAGTGTTGGTCATGTTTTATTATTTTATGTCATGCCTATTATTGCAAAAGCTTAACAAGGTTTTACGGGAAAAATACAGACAAAAACCCCAAACCATTTATTCCAAAGTAAGTGTAAGATAGTTCAATTGAATTTAATCCTGTATTTTTTTCAAGAAAGCTCAAAGTAAATATAATATAATTGCTTACAAGCCTGTACAAATTACTGGCAGTGCATGGATGGCAAATTCTTCAACACTGATGATCTAAATGTGAAACTCCTTAGAGCCAATGTGAAGTTATCTGGGTTTTTTTTTCAGTGTCCTGCTCGAGAGTTGCAATAATGTTAGCAAGTAAATTTTACTTATTAATAAGCATGGTGTTTGTTTATTCTGATGGTGTTCTCACCATATCTACTTATTGATTGTATTAGAGCAAAAGTGATACTTGGCCTTCTCATCCAGCTTTCTAAATACTCTGGATCTTCAGATATTTGTGGCTGGGTTATGCTTGGCAATTGCACTTGGCCATATGCAGAGTCAGGTTGGATCTGCCAAATGTCCCCAGCAGGTTTTTTTCTGATTTTCATATGTTGGTTGTTTTTTTTTCAGGCAGGTTGCTGATTTCCAGCTCTCCATTGCTTCTGTAATAGAAAACAGTTCTGGAGATTGTTTAGCACAGGACCTGCATCTTCAAGCCCAGCAGCTTGCTGAAAGGGTATGCTCATGAATTCATCACATATGATATGTATGCAATAATGAACTTACAGACTAGAGGTGTAAGGGGCATAATCAGATTAAAAAAGTATTCTTTCTGCAAGCATCTGTTTGGGTCAGAATAGTTTGATGGCTGTACTTACTGTGAGTGTACACAGCATCTTCACAGAGATTGGAGAAGCAGCTTTGGTTAAGGGTCCTGTGAAATTGTTGTTTTCAAACAGTTTGAAGTAAACAGTGCTGGTGAAGTTAGGTGGGTGTCTAAAGGGTGTGCCATGGTCTGTGCTGCTGCCCAGCACTTGAGGAAGAAATTCAATGTGTGGTAACTTGGAAAACCAGACTGCAAAACCCAGCTCTGGAAAGCCAATGGATAAAGTTGGCCTCTGGGGCAAACAGGCCTAACTTTCAAATCCTTTTCTGCTTCAAATTGAGTTTTCTTGTTATTTTAGGTGTGCTAGGTTGGGAAATGGCAGTAGTTGGGGTCTTGATACTGAAAAAAGGACAAATAAAACCAGTTGTGATACTGCTGAGGAGCTAAACTATTTCTCATGCCATGCTTCACTGCTGAGGTGTTGAAGTTATCCATGTCTTGGGCCTGTTCTAGCAAGATAAATATTCTGATTCGGGTGGAAGAAGACCTGACAATGCACAGATATACAACCAAAAGTTCTGAAACAACTGAAAGATTGTCTAGAAACATGAAATAATTCAGGTTGGCAAGGACCTCAGGAAGTTATCTGTTCCCATATCCTCCCCCGTGCAGGTGTTTTGGATGAAGTTGCTGAGGACTTTTGAAATCCAATGAGGTGTTAAAAGCCTCCAAGGATTTGACAGCCTCCATGTCAATCTGTTTCAATGACTGTATCACCACAGTAACAAGTTGGTTTTTTTTTTCCTTGTGTGTCATTTTAAAAACATCTGCTATTCCCAGTGTTTAGGAAGATGCAGGTTTCCTCCCTTTTTTATTGTTTGTGGCTCAGTAAATAATCCTGAAACATTTGTTAATCCTGAAGCATTAACAAACCTCTACAGCTTTACATGGAGGAGCAATTTCAACAGTAAAGAACAGGCCATCAATACAAGCCTCCACACTAAACAGACTATGCTAGCTAGGCAAAGGAAAATAAAAATCCATAATCTCTAAGGAATGTTTTTTTTTTAGTTGGGTGGTAAATAAATGAGATGCATTTAGTTTAACTTGTTTAGAGTGGTCATGTCATCTCCAAAGAAGGTAAGCAGTGTTTAAACTAGCAAAATATAACCATGTATCAAAAACTAGCAGAGAGACAAAAAAAAAAATGCAGGCAGTTTTTGTCATGATAAACAGTTGATGGAGTGCCTCAAGGTTCAACAGAATGCTCTTAGTTGCTTCTGAGGAAATGGGCCACAATATTTGAAATATAGGTGTTTAGGTTAGACAAAGAGAGATAGAAGTTTTTCCAGTTAACTTAAATAGTAGGGCCTTGAGATAATAGATGAGGCAATGTGCTTTGAAGTACTGAAAATTGTCTTTTAGAAAGTCAGACTGGTCTTGTTTCCCTGGGCTTTTGATTTCATTTGGCTGGCTGGTTCCTGTTTCATTTTTGAAGTACTGTTACTTCTTCGTGGAGGGGACGTTGTGTTGGGTTTTTTAGTGCTTCTGTACTGCACAGTGGCATCCTAGTCCAAGCCTTGGGCACAGGGACATCTGGTTACTAAAGGACCACGGGGCACAGAGGAGAAGAGGTGGTTAAAGCTGTCCAGAGGGTAAATGAGCACTCTTATTAAAGACAGATAAAAACTATTGATGTGACAATTGACAGATTATGGGGAAAACATTTATCAAAACAAATGTTGTGGAGAAGTCCAGTGGGTATTTCTATTTTCTCTCCACCCCATAAGTAGAAAGGACCATTTGTAAAACAGTAAGGTGGAAAATTCAGTGTCAACACAGTAAATGTTTTTTTCATGTAGCTTGGGAGTTAGCATTGGAATTTGTTGTTAGCAGAGCTTGTGAAAATAAAAGCATTTCAAAGCTAGCTATGATTTCTCCTGGACAGCTGACTGTCTAAGCTGGAGATCTAGCATGGGGATACAATTTCCTCTTCATGGTGATGACCTTCAGTAGGATTGTAGCTTGCCTCTCTCATAAATGCTGACCAAGTGAGAAGGTGATTGTGACATATTTTTATATGCTTTCCATCCCTCTTCTTCCTTTTTTAGACAACTTCTTGACTGTGAAAGACAGCTAGTTTAGTAAGAAACTGAGACCTGACAGGTTGAGATCCAAAGCTCTTGGCCTGTGAAGAGACCCAAATTCCTGTTGACATTAGGTGTTGGTTGGCCAAATATGCCAGGTTCAGAATTTTCAAGACATGTGCCTTATGGAAATTGTACATGAAATTTTTCATAAATTGGCCTTTAATATCTTTCTTTTGTCACATGGGGTGCCACAGAATGTTGTCACTTAACTTTTTTTTTGTTGTTAAGTGCTGGCAGCTACTGTGTAAGTTGTCAAATGTATCTCAGCTGTTGTCTGTACAACGAGTTCAACTACTGCTCCCAATCCAAAGGAAGCACAGAGTGTGCACAGGCAGGGTTTGAAGTGGAACATATGTGTGGCATTTCAAGCTGAGTTGTATTCAGAGCTTATTAAGCATGAATGGGAAATAATACAATTGTCCCTTTTCCAACAGCATTGATGAAATGATCCCTTTATGATTGCTTCAAACAAATAAATAACATTTAATGTTTACAGTGGATTAAATTAATATTCACAGTGGATTGAATGACAGTTTTCCAGGTTACCTGTTTCCATTCCAAGTTCCTGTTTTATTTTATTCTCTTAGCTACGATGTGATTCAGTAGTGAGTGCAATCAGCGCTGGTCCAGGAACAGTGAATTTTACAATAAACAGAGAATTATTAGCAAAGGTGAGTAGTGTCTTTCAAGTGCTTTAAGGTAAAAATAACTTTTCTCAGTATAAAACTATAGAATACCTACTATTTATTGTCTTAGAAAGATATTTTCTATGTAAAATTGTCCTTCACAAGTTTTCCCTGAGGATTCCTGTTGCTGATTTGTTACGTAGGCCTAGAATTTGAAATTAGGCTCAAGAAAGTTTCCTCTTGTGAGGAAACAATGCATCTACTGTTCACTAATAATCATAATGTTTCATTTTCATCTCTCTCTTTGCTTTAAAATGCAGGCTTATTACATC